CATCTTCCACGTAGTTGAGCGAAAGTAACTGATAAAGTTCCTTGATTTGCGCGTCATCTTCAATGTCAATAAGGGACCACTCAAAGTCTTTTGGGAGCGGATAGGGTTCCTGGCGTAATTCCTCGCGCTTCTTATCAGGTTCGATGGGACCGTTTTGTTCAATCTTCTCGTCTGAGTTCAAGACGTAAGCCGTCAGCTCAAGGCAATCCTTCCTCTACCCTCGACCTACCAACGCGCGGAACTGGTTGAGTCTTCCAAAACTTATACTGGTCCATGTCCTTTGGGTTCTTGCGAGTCCTTTGATCATTTGCGGCGAGGTTTCGTATCAGATCTACCTTTGCTACCTGTCGACAATGTCATGATTAGAAGAGAGCTAATCGACCAAGCAGGTTCAACAGCTGCCTTTGCTAAAGAGGTAGAATTCCTGTTACGCACTTTCCTCATGATCTCTTCCATTTGTTTCTGCAACACAGCATCCGGTACAGCCGCTGATCCAGATGAAGAACTACTTGCGGCGCCATTTTGAGCTTTGGAGGTATCAGATTTCGTCGCATTTGCTGCCCCAGGTGTAATGATTGTTTCCACACCCTCCACATCGTCCACCTGAGGTTCGACCTTTGACTCGGATGCCATGATTGCTAATTCGACAAGGTCAGCCGCTACAATGGGGAACGCGCATGGATTTGATCGACTTATAATAAGTTGGTTGCAGCCATGCAAAAGTAACCACTTTGCTCCATTCTTGCGATCTCATTCTTGACTGCTTGTCCCAACATCACTCGCCATGTCGACACTGGCTCATACTGTGTACGTCTGCAGTACACTTTATATTTGAGCGTTGCTTTGGCTGACTCGACATTCTACAGCACCATCAATATTCCCTTTCCCGACACTCGACTAGCTACAATAGCGCAACAAGTGCTCTCAGTCGACAAAGAACTGAAAGCAGCTGAATGTCAAAAGGAGATGAATGTGGAAGGAACGTCTCTGGTTGTGTGAGTACCTTGCATGGTTAGTCGAGATATATGCAGATATCTAAAGGGGAACGAAACTAGCACCATACGAGGAGTATCTGTCCGGGTTGTGCGAACGGCGGTATCGAGCTTTTTGGATTTTGCGGGACTGGTGGTGAATACAATGGAGGCTTTCGGGGAGGACGAACCGAGATAGTTGACATCTGCTCGTTCCTTGTACATTATGTCAAATATGTATATAGACGGGGTGCTCTCCACGTTCAAAAGATAGAAATCCAAAAAGTAGATGGGAATGTTTTTAATTCAAAAAGTATCAGCAAGCATCCTAAAATGCATTGCTGCTTATTTGCTACCTTCTTCTCCGTCCCGGAAGGAACTGGCGACGACGTTGCCTGTCGTCGTCGACCAAGTTGCTGTGTGCAATTCTGGCTAACAGTGGATGGAACGTGTTCGACTGGTGGATTCCATCCAATGCCGACTTGGCTGACTTGACCGACTGGTGAGGCGCGTTTGGCATCCTTCATTCCAACGCTGGTGGAGCAACCAATTGGCACTGACCTTTAACGAATATCGGCGTCGTGGAGTCAACAAGACGAGTTGAACATTCCGAGAGCATTGCCCAGATTCTCTATTTCCACTTCATTTCAAGTTTTTGAAGCATGTCCCATCGCAAGATTAATGTGGACCAGTACGACGACGAGGATGCATTCGTTGATGAGAACCAGACCGCAAGCGGACCAACCGCGGATTCAGCCCAAGTGGAAGCTGATGTGAACTCTCGCGCCGCTGAGGTGCGGAATTATCTGTCACGGTTTGTACAAAACACTTGAAAGTTATTGTTGGCTGGGCGTGCCACTAAGTGACAGCATAGGGGAGATGTTGCGGGCGCCGTCGCAAAAGCACTCGAGAACCCTCCAGCGGGCCGCGCGCTACAGACAGTCAAGGTAGATCTATACCCTTGTAAATAGCAGATGGGCTCTCTTCTGACAACCGCACAGGACAGAAACACAGCTACAGTCATGGAAGCACTTGCCGCCGCCAGATCCACTGATATCATCAACATCGTCAAAGGCCTATCCACACAACAAATGGACATTCTTATGAAGTACATTTACCGAGGCATGGGCTCACCAGAGTTATACAATTCTGCCATCCTGCTGACGTGGCATGAAAAGGTGAGGAATTTTATGACTACATCATTGTCTCTTGTGAACTCAACGTATTGATATTTGATTACAGGCTACCGAAGTTGGAGGATTGGGAGGCATAGTGCGAGCTTTGACGGATAGGAAGACTGTGTAAATATAACAGAATAAATAGATTTATATCTCCTTCATGGCGGTTGTCCTCGACACATCGGACTAATGAAAACAGATCGTACAACCACCATCTATGGCAAGACGAACAGTGTCTGCTTTTGGATATATATTACAGTTATATACGACATAGTGCGGACTCAGGCGGAGTCCATTTGTCCACCAGCACTGCTCTCAGCATCCTCTTGATCCGATCCGTCTCTTTGCCCCTCCTGATCCGTTACCGTTTCCTGATCCGAACCATGATCAGACCCGTCTTCCACTCCTCCTTCTCCTTTTGGTAACTTTGGCCGTTTTATTGATCCTATTGTCCCAGCGTTCGATTTCCGCTTATGCGGTATCGATCCAGAGCCTTCCACCCCTTCGCATTTCACTGGCTCGTCCACTGCCATCGAGGTGTCACCTTCATAGCCAGCGTCACCCTTCTCGTCCGCCGACCCTGTAGCCGCATTGGACACACGGTGCTTTTCTTTGAAATTTCGTTTGTACTCTTGACGCTTTTCTTTAGCTTTTTGCTGAAATTCTACACAGTGCGGAATGCTCGGTATGAGAGTCTGTTGTCGTCCCAACAATACTGGGCCCACGCAACTGAGAGCTCCTGCATATTCTACATACCTTCAACGGCAACTTTAATCATTGGCAAAAACTGATCAAATTCAAGGATCGCCAATGCTCTAAATATGTCGTTTGCACTGATCGATTTACGATCACTGTGTTTTGTCACATCAAGAGCCGTGGCAGTCAGATAGTTGATAAATACTAGGGGAAGCCAGGAAAAGATCATGAATGAGATCCAAAGTTAACTACGTGCTCTCTTGCATAGAGTCACCCAGAACCGGGTGTTCCTTATATCTAGAGCCTCGAGAGACGTACCAGTGCACGCCTTGGTCATTGCTGCCTTTGCATCTTTTTGGACCTGCGCTCCTTCGGGTAGCTGATAGGACAACTATGAGGATTCTAGCCGTTCTCGCCCCCAATTTTCATTGAAATTCCACTTACCGCATTTTTTATCACTCTCCCAATGATGGAACGAGGAAGGTCCAGGTCGTCTATGGAAGTCATTGTATCTTTTTTCTGCTGGCAATCTGCTGGAAATCTCCACAAAACGCTCTCGATCGGCAACCCTTCAACGTGTTCAGTGGCACAGCACTTGATGACTCAACCAGGCAATTTCCGTATGCCGACGAATTTCTTTCACCTTTTGGACATTTCCTCAACGACAGGTTTTTCCGTCAACGACCGAACTCCGCTGAGGCTGCGTTGCAGGCAAACCGGGACCTCAACCCATAGGTATCGGGAACCTTCACCAAAGCTCTTCCATGGGTCACCAAAGTATTGTCGCTTTGGGCGTTCGGCCGTATGTTTTTGCAGCCGTGCCAGTGGCATTGCTGGGAAGTATCCTTTTATTCGAGCAAAGCCGCTGGTTATGGCACCGAAGGCACCGAAGACGGGCAATTGAACGCCATTGGGAGTATATTGACGGTCAAATGAAGGAAGTCGAAGAGGTCGAGAATGCCAATGAAGCCGAGGAAGAGGAAGGCTTGGAACCTGCTAACCCAGACGAAACGCGCAAGGCTGTGGCATTGTCGAGGGCACAGATGGGATTCTGGAGACAGAAAGTTTATACATCGTTGAAGTTCGCTGGACGCTTTGTCAATCCGTTTTTGGAATGGCGAGATAAAAATGCGACGAACATCTGGGAATATGTCCGTTGGCAGCTTACAAGACATAATCGGAATGGCATCCCCAAGGACAATAAGGTTGCTTTGTTTTGTCAACGTACTTGGTCAGTCCTGCACTTAACATACATTGTCCATCCTATGTCAGGTCTTGGCAGAGAGCCTTCCCACAGTACAACCGAACTGGGAACTGTTGCAAAATTTCCATAACCGCAGCTCAGTGGACGACCTTGAGGCTTCGTGGATCACCTTGCCATCACATGGGTCCCGCCCGTCAATGACAGTGACGTGGTTTGGTAAGGCAGGGCGGAGTTGCTGTCGAATTGATATCGGGAGATGTACCACATACTAAGAGCTCTCGTCTAGGTCAATCGACTTGCCTAGTACAGATGGATGGATATAACATCCTTACGGATCCGATATTCAGGTATTCTACTATCATCTCGCCCGGGTTAAGATGACGCTAATATTGTGTGGGATACAGCTCTCGAACTGTGGGCAACTGGTTAGGACCCCGCCGACTTCGACCGGTACCATGTAATCTCTCTGACTTGCCAAAGATTGATATCGTACTTGTGTCGCATGATCATTATGATCATCTTGGTACGTGTACACACACCTGCAAACTAGGCATTGACTTCGCCCGGCTGATGATGTATTTACCAGATCGGGCAGTCGTAAAGGAACTTGGTAATTCCGTCACTTGGTACGTACCTCTCGGTCTTCGTGACTGGTTTGGTAGCCACGGCGTTACAAATGTAAGAATTGACCTTGTCTCTGTGTCTCAGCTATGTGGTCTTAACAACTGTATACGTAGGTGGTGGAGCTTGATTGGTGGGAAGAACGCCTTCACGAAAATACACTTCGCATCATCGGCACTCCAATACAGCATTGGAGTGGACGCCACTTCTTTGATGTCAATAGAACTTTGTGGTGTTCCTTTGTTGTGAAAGGCCCAACTAGTAGCTTCTTCCACTGCGGGGATACGGGATACTGTACGGCATTCAAGGAAATTGGAAAAAAGTATGGCCCCATAACTTTAGCTGCACTGCGTAAGTTCTTCTCAGTCCTTGAGGATACCTCGTTGCTTGGGCTCATTCCCAGTATAGCTATCGGCGCCTACGAACCACGATGGTTCCTACGACACCAACACGTGGACCCCGACGAGGCGTGCCAAATTCATACCGATTTGAACGCTTCTTACTCGATTGGGGTGCACTGGGGAACGTTTATGATGTCAGATGAGCATTATCTTGATCCTCCTAAGTATTTAGAAGAAAGCCGAATACGAAGAAACCTTGCCGAAGGGACCGTCTTTACGTCAAGGCTGGGCGAGACAGTCTGCATTCCAAAATGATGATTAGGTGGAAGGGCCCCTGATTGGGTTTTCTAGCTACGTCCGGCTGGCCCACAGTATATAGATTCCATAGCAACGACCGTACCATATACATAATACTGCATGCAAGATCATAGACACTGATGGCAATCGCGATTGTGAACAGAATTACAGAGATTTTATAGTCCACAGAAGTCGCCGCTTTTCTAATACGGCCGGTCGCGGCGGTCGCGACGAGCATCCGACCGATGATCACCCCTGTCATGCCCGCCCCTGTCGTACCCTCCAGAACGGTATCCTCCGGAGCGACCCCCGCCGTAGGAGCTGCCGCCATCATAACCGCCACCACCTCCTCCGGATCCTCCGCCCGGCTTCGCCGCTTGACACTTGTGACATGAATCCCTCCATGAAAAGTTTGTATTTCCGCATCTAAAGGCAAATCTTGTGAGATTTTCACACTTAGCTAGCGCAAGGTAAAAAATGACTTACTGGCATGTCCAATCGCCTGGCCTGGAGCCGCCCCGACCACCCCCGGAGCTACGGCCGCCTCCTTCGTATCCGGAGCCAGAGTTCCCAGGTTTGGGTTGCTGACACTTGTTGCAGGAAGTCCTCCAAGCAAAATTCGTATTGCCGCATCTGCAAAAGTCGGGATCAGGACTATAGATCATATGGCCATTCTGAGTGAGCCCGACTTACTCGCACGCCCAATCCCCACCCCGTCCTTCACGACCTCCGTCCCGGCCGCCATCGCGCCCAGGAGGCGGTCCACCTGCTCCGCCTGCTCCATCAGGTTTAGCTGAATGGCAGCGGTTACAGCTATCCCTCCACTGAAAGTTCGTGTTACCACATCTAGTTATAAGTAGACAGTGGGTTACATCGATCAGTTCAAGCACTTTATCTTAGGGCAACTCACGAGCACATCCAGTCTCCTTCGCGGCCTCCTCCATCTCGGCCGCCGCCACGACCTCCGCCGCGCCCACGACCGCCACGACCACCACGACCACCGCCGCCGCCCCAACCACCAGGTGGAGGGGCTTTCTGCTCAGCGCGTTCAACTTTCAGGGTGGAGCCCTCAAATTGCTTACCTTGAAGAAAGAAATAGTCATATCATTTGGATGCCATCCGGGTAGATCCCGAGTCAAAATATACAAAAAAGGTTATACCGTCAAACCAATTAATCGCTCCATCGCACGAGCACGGATCATCATAGGTCACAGTCGCATCTCCTTTAGGCAGTCCTGTGGCTTTGTCCTTGTATAACCACACTTTCGGCTTTTGAGTTTTCTTATCAGTCTGACAAAACACAACCCTTCAGATAGAATCCTTGCCTGCATGCGACGATAAGAACCGCGTACCTTAATTATGCCGATGCTTCCGAAATGATCGATGAGCTTCTGTTCAGTGACACTTTTGGACAATCCAGTAATGTAGATTGTATCCTGGCTCTGGGTCTTGCCCTCTTGAATGAGCAAAAAGGATTAGCAGGAGAAAACGCATATAATCTTTGCATTGGCAGCCTACCGCTACCTCCTGCGCTGCTTGTATCCGCCCGAGATCCTCCGCTCCCATAGTCTCGACTCTGCTGTCCGCCTCCGTAACTTCTGCTACCATAGCTTCGATCGGAGCCACCATAGCCATTAGAGCCACCACCGCTCTGTTGTCCGTAATAGTCGGCATACTGTTGCTGTGTGGCGTAGCCTGACAAGAAGCACCACTTTTAGCGAATGCCGTCATGGGCGTGGAGCGTCCACCACTTTTACCTCCTTCATTTGTGGCACCATAATAGTCGTAGCTACCTCCAGAGTGGCCACCCCCTCCAGGATTGCTGGTGTTTCCTTGAGATCCTTCCTGACTACCGTAATAATCGTACGACGAGTAGCTGGACGCGTCGTACCCAGCGTACTGCCCACCTTGGGTGGACCTGAGCGGCATTCAAAAGTCAGTTTCACAACTTGACAGTAAAGATCCCATGTTACGCACTCAGACTTGTCACCGTAAGAATCTGGAGCTTTGGATCGGTCCGCCATCGCTATTCTTCAAATGCGCTGAGAAGCGGCAACAAGCGAGATCTGCATGTGGGGAAACGGGGGGGTCGTCATGGCCAACGAGGATCACGAGCGGTCACGGGTGTGTGACGTGCAGGGCTTAGTTTGAAATATAAACAAAAGAAATCGTAATGGACAGTCAGTGATGGCAACAGAGACTAAAAAATCTATTATTTGGAAATTGAACGGACAAATTCAATAATGCTCCTTGTGGGCCGTCCTTGAAAGCGCAAAAAATGATGAGCGAGACTACACCTGAATTGTGTGCCCGTCAATACAGACTATACCTGTCATGCCACTGCTAATATAGCCGTCTCCTCCTTTCTTGTGCATGACTCCGGCAATGTCTGGTTCCTGGGTTAGCTTTATGCATTGGGGAAGTGGACTTGTCAGAAATCTCTTACCTATATGCGCAAATCGAACAGTAGAATCTCCCGATGAAATCCCTTCGTCAGCTTTGCGAAGCCCGGGAACAAATTCCTTCAAGAAAACAGCGGCAGTACATGACCCAGCCGAGCGCCCTCCAACATTCTTCAAGTCAGCAACGTTGCTTTTCAGCTGCTTCTTGTACACGTCATCCATAGGCATCTTCCAGAACCGATCGCCGGTGGTTTTACCCGCGTTCTCCAGTTGCTCCCATAACGTGTCCGATGTGCTGAACACGCCAGCGTAGCCTTCGCCAAGGGCAATATCCATAGCCCCAGTCAAGGTAGATAATTCGACGACAGTATGCGGTGTGTATGTCTCGGTGACGTAGTGGATGCTGTTTGAGGAATTAGTCAAGCGCATTGCTCCAATAGAGTTATGATGTGTACTTACGCATCTGCCAATATCAAGCGACCCTATTTAATGCAATTTCAGTTACTCCGGTACCAATGGCCAAGACTAACACAAGGGCATTCATACCTCTGCATCTGAAATAGGAGACGAGGACATGCAATGATACTGTGTTTAAGAGGTTGGACTCACCGGAAACAGGTCGAGCAGATACATACCTGTGTTGTCCACTTCGATGGTTTTACCATTCCTCGCACGAACGAGATCACCCGGCTTTGTTGCTCTGCCAGAAGGCATGTTCTCTGTCAAAGGTATCACGGCCACGACATTAACCTGTGGGCGTAGTTGGGTGATGCCCCACATTGCACCGAGGACCGCGGCGGCCCCACCCTAAGATCATCTGTAAGTCGGCGTGGCAGCTGGTGGAACACTGTCTGGTAGCCTATGATACCTACCATATCTCCCTTCATCAGCGCCATGTCCGTCGACGGTTTGATAGAGATGCCTCCAGAGTCAAATGTAACCCCTTTACCTACCAAGGCAACAGGAGCATCCTGCTCATTCCCACCACGATAAATAATCTCAAGAAACCGTAGTGGTTCCTCCGACCCGCGGGCAACACCCAGGAAGGCACCCATCTGTTGTTCTTCCGCCCATGCTTTGTCATGCACCGCAAGCTCGACCGATGATTGGCCAGCAAATAGCTCCTTGGCCCGGTCGCAGAAGAGCGTTGGAGTTAGGAGATTCGCGGGTGTTTCGGCGAGAGTCCGCGCCAGGTTCTGGGCTGTCGGCCTTCCAGTTTAGCCTGGGATGAAGTGAGGACGTTCGACATAAAACCATACCTTGACCATTCACCGAGCCCACATGCCAGTCCTCGCTAGCCGCATGCTCTTCTCGTAAGGAAATGGTAACTGGCGCCGCTTTCTCCTCCTTGTACCGAGTGAAGTCATACGTGCCCAGAGTAGCACCCTCTGCTGTGGCTGCGGCAGTCTCAAGTGAGCAAACATGAGACAACTGGCATTCCCCCGCTTCAACGTACCAAGTGAACTACCGAGAGCATCAAATTCTACGGATATCGGCGACTTTGGAGATAGGCGCTTTATAGCAGAGAGGGCAGCGGACGCCTGAAAGTGGCAAATCGGTAAAGTCGTCAACAGGAGTGTTCGCATTATGCGTTAACCTACCGCCAATCTAGCCGTCTCGGCATTCTCATTATTGTCTTGGGATCGCTTTCCGAGACCGACAACTCCCACGATCGGTGAAGGCGCTCCCTCCAATCCATAAAGTCTGAATCCCACATGGTAAATCTGCTGTCATTCGGCGCTTACTCTCCTCCCAAAGGCACTCACAGTCGTACTTCGTTGTTCTTCCCTTGGAACCTTGAGATATTTAATTGGGACACAATGGAATCAACGGCTTGGGACGGCATTTTGGCGCCTTGCCCTGCGAAAGCGTTGGCGGTGATGTTGCCATCTTGATAGACGCCAATGACAGTGGCATCGGCGGAAGCGATAGGCGTGGAGGATAATCCTCGAACCTTAAATACAGAACGCCGAGCTGGCCGCAAGGCACAACGGCGTAAGAGCAGTGTCCCAGTGGTCATTGTGAAGGGTCACGCAACAAATGATCACCAAGCTCAGAGATCGCGTTGGCAGTGCTTGAAAATTGATGTTCTCGAATTTACCCCAGCGATAGAGCCCATAGGATTTTACAGCCGGACTGAAACTTGCGGTCAAACAAGTGCATAATGTCGAGGATAACAATCGAAAACTTTAAGGTGCATTTCTTCTTTCACTTTGGGACCTACGGTTGGGATCGATCTCATCAAGGGATCCGATCTGGGGGAAACCCATGCATGTTTACGATCAGAAGCACCTACTAGGCGCAGGCGAAAGCTGTATCTGCGAGGGAAGGACGGTAGCAGCGATTATTTCGCAGTGATATTAGTGCGACCAATGTAATCGCATATGACAATATTTTGCTGTTGCGGCAATCTAGCTCGTAATGTATGATCTACCGTACATTGCAACAAGACTTCAGAAACGCTATGATTACCGTTGCAAACAGAGAAATCCCCATATTGACAAATCTACCCATTCGAAAAAGAACAGCTCTACCTATGCCGGACAGATTTGGCGGACGCTCTCCCTAAACGGCGTGTGATGCATCAGATTCTCCTGTATCCCTGCCAGTCTTGTCCATCAGCATTACTCTGCTCAAATAATCCCTCCCAGCGTTCCCTATAACGATGAGAACGGAGTAGTTTTCGGCATTGTGATCCCTTTTGACGTTGTATCTTACCACAGCATTTATTTATGCTTAAATACTATCTTTGTATGTACACGTTGCATCTGATTAAGGTCTGCCGAACACAGTCAATCATTCCTTCGTCATTCCACAGCTGTCCAACTGTGTACGCTTCAGGTCCCATGTCCAAGCCTCGTCATTTGGTCCATATGGTGTCAGCGGAAGGTCATAGGGAAGACGAAGCGGTATGATGACGGGTCGCTGCATGTTATCAGGTCCCCTGCCGTTTAATGTGAGGTCGAGAAATGGCGCGACTTCAGATGATACGTTCCTCATTGCAATGTTGTTTACCCCAGACATCTATGCTAGACCGTTAGTGCGGTTTCACTAAACCAATCCCGACCTCGGGAAAAAACACTCACTTTGAACAGTTCAGGATAAACAAGAACGCCAAGTTCATAGCTTCTTATCATCAGCTGCTTCGCGTTCTTCTCCAGGGAGCCCCAGGCAGCTTTTGAGAGGTTTGCGGAAGTCAGAAGAAACCAAGCAATATCTCCATCTTCACTCAGCCGAGTGAAAGTCTTTGTGCATGTTCACATTAGCGCTTATCACTGCAATGTTCAACATAATTATCTACCTTGATGTGTGGCATTGCTCGATCTCGCCCTGCCGCGTCTGCACGCCAGATACACATCCGCGGTCTCATATAGTGCTGTTGCTTCGCCCAATTTTTGGAATCAAAGGGGATCGAGTTGCCGGCAGCCCAACCCTCCAAACTACAAATCCTGGGCGTTAATACTTGTGGTCCACGTAGGAACCCGAGTCACCAACCTTGACCGCACATTCTCTACGGTAGGAAACACAAGGCGAATAGATGGCGGTCGACATTCAGCCAGGTTGCGTGATGCCGACAGACTGGCTCCAAACTCTTGTGTGAGCCATTCATCTGACGTCCCCAGAGACCCTATACTGGAAAACTAACCACGATCAAGTTGAAAATCACCCAGCTAGCATGACTATCTCAATGTCGATTTCACGTACCTGACCAACAACGATGGATTTACTTTGACATTGCTCGCCAATCGTCACCTCGTCCAAGACCGATCGCAATCGCAAGTGGCCCCATCTTCTCAAACCTTTCCCTACGTGTCGTCCAGGAACCGACGCGATGATAACCGCGTTGCATGTGGAAAAATCATACAAGCTCAGTTTTTCATGCCATTCGCGGAGTGGATGGCCATATGCCTTGATATACGCGAGGAGATCGACCTCAAAGTCAGATATAGTCGTAGAGGGAGCCTTCCTCTGCAGTATAGGTGACATCCAGATTCCCTGAGTTTTATTCCTGTAGGTCTTTCGAAATTAACTTTGGCACACCGCCTTGTTGACGGACAATTAGTACCTCCAGTCCCGTGATATCATGTTGGCGGTATGAATAATAACTCTCATGGTGTCGTCTTTATAGAAGAGAAACATCGCCTTGGTATGATGCGTACCTATTCCAAAGAATTCGGCTAAGTAACGCTCTGCGCATAGTGGAGATCAAAGGCTGATACTATCACCAACCATAGGCAATTGGAAGATCGGGGTTGATTATTTTGACATTGGGAAATTGTATAGCTTCGACCTACGTATCATAACATTTGCGTGTATTGGTAGATGGTTGCAAAATTCGTACGATCAGCCAGTTTTAGGACTCACCCTCAGTCCTTCCCTGCTTAATGCACGCAGGCCATGAACAAAGGTGATTGGAATACTACGGCTCTTTTCTGGCAAGTGATTCATCATCCACGACAACTCGACCATGTAATTGAGCTGCAGCATACAAGCCAAGTCGCCCTATCAACCTCGAATTAATACCGAACCAATGGTCGCATATTGCTAGAATCCATCATGCTCACAAAATGAAAGATTTGCTCGAGACTTTTTGACCAAACATTTTTTTGGGCAGGGAGATCGCGGACCTTGGTAAGATAGATTCTTGAATCTATATAGATCGGAACAGAGCTACACGTCGTCGACGAGGCACCCTTGACATTGTGGCTAGTGTTGACAAGTGGCAGATCGTCAACTACGGTTCGACAGAAACTGTATCAAACCATGGTTGACGCACGTCCGATTAGGCTGCTCCTCAAGAGTATCGTCATCAATTATTTCTGTTGCATCAGAGTCATAGTCGGCTTCCTTATGCCCGGATACACTGTCAGATAAGTCCGGCAAACACGTCGCTTGCTAGCCAAACCTCCGCAGTCTTGTCAACATCGAGTTTATTCTTCTTTCGGGGAGAAGAGCCCCCAGTATCAGTTCGATTGCTGAGAAAACGCTTCATTACGATGTCGCATCGAACCGAACGCTCATTCTTCTGGGAGGATTGCTGTAAGCCAGGCTGTGGAATCCATGATCTTACCAGTAAGAGGCACGTGACCTCATTGCCTCCACCGCCTTACACAGTTAACTTTGTATGTGAACCTAGTGGAAACGAGCAAGATACGCAGGCTACATTCGCCAGCATTGTTAATCTCTTTTCCAACATCAGATGTTTGGATCCCGCTATCAACAAAATATGTCAAATAATCTGGATCTGAAAACTTTAGGCATGGGGAGAAACCTTGTGTTGGCGCTTGCTAATGCCCTTGCTGCATGCTTTATTAACTGCTGGTGTTCGTCTATACCGTGGAATCCACTGCGTCTTCTGTGTCGTGTACCGCGGAAGTTGCTGCATCTTCCAAAGTAAGCAGGAAGGTTGGAGAATTCGAAGAATTCACTTTCCAAGTTCGACGCGATTGCTGATCTAATGCGCGTTCGCACTAGAAGATATGCATTTGTTTAAAGAGTAACTCAAAGCTTTCAACACAGTTGCTTGAGCTTGCGTTAATTGTGCAAAAGGCAGAGGAATATGCCAGCATTTTTGTCATTTGGCAAATATGCAGCTTGGCAAAAGTCGCTTTACATCAAGCTCCTTTGCCTTTTCGCTTTCGTCGAAATCAGATGCCTTGTTCACGCAGCTATCGTCGAGCTCAGTCATCCAGCGTCCAATACAACTCCCTCCGGCTTGATAGATCCTAGTTTTGTTGGATTTTCAGTAGAATGGACCCATGTAGACGACGCACTGGGACCGGGTCCCGGAGCGAACACTGGAGTAGATTACAGTTCCAATCCCATCGTAGTCAATCTCTTTCGGCACTTGGCTGAGGCAGTTGCGGGCTATCCGCCGACTCTTAGAATTGGTGGAAATAGCGCAACCCGATTGTAAGTATGTTCGATGTGTACCGATTTATATCTCGACCGATCATGCTAAATCTGCACCTGCGGGCTCAGATGGTGGCAAGGTTCTATTCTACCGCGTTTGAGCCAAAGTACCTGGAGTGTAAACGCAATGGAGCTCAAGATCATTCAAGAATTTGCGGTATGTCCTGAAGTTGTTATCAAATATCAGTAGCCACATATACCAAATTGGTTCTGAATGTCACATTTACAGTCATCTACAGGGAGCAGAATGGTCTTAACCGTTCCGATGTTGAGTCCGGATCCGGCGTGTAAGTTTCCTCTAACCTGAAGATGTGGCTTTTTACAACCGGTCTCTGATATTTTAGTATCGAACACGCAGATGCCGTGGAGTTTCTGGTTAAAGGCGTCATACCAAACTTATCCAAAGACCACATCCTTGCTATCGAGATTGGGAATGAGCCAGGTAGACATCTGCCGTCACCATGGATCAAGCTGCAGTCCACTGAACACTTTTTGTAGACCACTATGAAAAAAACGGCCGACGTCCACCCGGCTACTCCTTTAATGACTTCACGAAAGAGTTCACCGTGGCCTACAATGCGATTGTTGCCGCCATTGGCCCTGGATTTGATTATCAAGGCCCTTCCTATGCTTACCCGTGGACTTCCGATTATATGATACCATTTATTCAAGGACAGCGTGGAACAAAATACATTTCGTGAGTTATTGAAGTGTGGGCGCCTGCGAGTAAAACCTTTGCTCAATCAGCTAACGGAATGAGCAGATTTCACAAATATGGGCAACGCGGTTGTTCGACTGCCACCAACCCTGACGCAGTAACTCCATTGACTTTACTAGCAGACCCAGCCCCGGAAGAGTATGTGTGGATAGACAGCCTCGTCCAAGTGGCCCAAGGTGAGAACTTGTCACAAAGGTAATTAGATCCAAGTTGTATAATGCTAATGCGTTGCTATTAGCCGGAAATCAAGATGTTGTCTGGGGAGAAGGCGGTTCCTCATCGTGTAATGGTACCGCTGGAGTATCGGACACGTTTGCATCGGCGATATGGACAGTGGACACGTTGTTGGAGGTTAGCATTTGAACATAGTAGATTATTCGTATCCATATTGCTAGTACTCAGCGGACGTTACTTGCACCAGATGGCATATCGGAACGTCAAGTACACCTCTTTGTCCGGTGCCGCTCAGACATACTATGCTCCTTACTCGCTCGATCCTGTAACTGGGCGCATGAGCCCAAGGCCAACGTACTACGGAATGCTAATGGTAACGTCAAGGCACATTGAACTACTGTCGCTTTTACGTCCGAGGCTTAAATTCCCGCATCTAGGTCAACAGAATCCTTCGCGGAGCAGGCAGTACTCTTTTCCGAGCGTCCCTTGACGGTGGATGGGCGCTCACCGGCAATTCCATCAAAACTTGGGGCGTGAACAACACCGCAACTGGAGAGATGACGTTGGTGGTCATACACAAAAGCCCCGCCGCCAATGCCACATCTTTCACAGTCCAGTATCCCTACGCCTTCTCTGCGTTATCGAATTGCACGTCATCACAGCAACCGAAAGGATATATCACACGTCTAGAAGCACCTGCTCTCAACGCAAAAACAGGCGTCACGATCAATAAGCAGACATGGGATAATTCACTGGATGGGCATCCCATAGGGGCATATACAGAGGAGATTGTTGAAGCGCAGGGTCAAATGTTTACCTTTACTGTGCAGCAGTACTCGATAGTGGCATTGCGTATTGGATGTACACCTGGTCTTCCGGCAAGGTCTTATACTCCGCCTCCGGTCGAGCCTGTCAATCCAGGATTCACTCCAGTGTGGGGTACTCCAAACCCAACCCCGTCCGCAGACCCTGACGCGCCGTTGAAGACTGAACAGAGGACGCTAGGTAAATATGTGGGAATCGGGGTTGGTGCCGCTGTGCTTGGGTTAGCCTGTGCTCTGGCATTGACCGCATTGGTGCGCAAACGACGAATGAAAAACGATGGGGCAATCCCGACACCAAGGACGTCAAATGCCGCGGCACGCCATCCTCACCCGTTTGCTAAACGAAACCCGTATTTATACGCCTACGCCGGAGAAGTTGTATAAAGTGTGTTAAAGCTGTCATATCATAATGCAATTTTAGTATATAGTCCACTGTGTAACTAGTTCGATGAATAAGACGTACGTGCATATTAGCGACCCTCACGGAGGCAGTGAAAGACAATCTATCCTACAAACTATACATGATTGCTACTACATCTAACTAAACTTTATATGTTGTGCCATCTACATGACGAAATCTATTCTAGCTAATGATCGCTCTTTAAACGCCTTTCACGCATTTCATCCGCGATCTCCTCCTCCATGTTTCTGGTTTTTACAGTTTCTGCGGTCAACGTGGTGGCAAAACTATCCCTCCGGTCGATACTGCCATTTAAGACAGATGTCCTAACCTCCAAGAGCTTCTCCGTGCGCCATTGCTCGTAATATAGTTCACGGGTTAAAAGCTTCAGTTCGTGTAGATGGGTAATAAAGAGGGTTTCCTTGACTCGCAAAAAATCGCAATGCGACGGGTTCTGTACCTCTACAATTCCCCATGGATACTCTCTCCCAAGAATGCGGGGTGACTCGGTCTTGCGGATAGATGCGTCATCGTCTACAGGAGCGTCATCTTCCAATTCAGGTTCTTCCGCATTAACGATCGCAAAAGGTAGCATTGCTCGTAGCTCTTCGTTCAGCTCTATTGCATCTTTGTCGTACTCCACGTCTGGATCTTCGGGGAACGCAAATACGGGAATTCCAAACCTTGCCAAGTCTTCTACGACAAGATTTCGTAGGGTTCGCAAACGCCTCACAGTCAGGAGATCCGCCTTTGCAAAGCATACTATTACGTTCACTCTTGAGCACAGCTGTTCCAGAGCATAGCGATCTATGGCGGTGATTCCACGACAGGCGAAGCACACCTGGGGATCAAGAAAATACAAACAGGCGTGGATTTGGAAATCGGGAGATTTCGGATTCCGTCTCACTTTGGATTCCTCAAGAAGAGTAGCCTCGAACTGAGCTTCAAGATATGAGACGAGTGACGTTACGAATGGTTTAGCAACTTTGACATGCTTTTCGTTATGGTCCTGGTCTTTGTGAATATTCCTCGGAATGGGTAATCCAGGGGTGTCTATAATCCGCAGTGAGATACGCTCCCCTGGTTGCTCGATTTCAAACTCGATCCGGGCAGCTGAAGCAGTTGGTGCAGTAATATCATCCGGTGGAAGGATTTCGGTAACTTGTTCTCCGTCATCGGGACAAATGGCTTTGATATCCAAGGTGTCATAGAGGGTTTTAATGTATGCAGTCTTTCCCGAGAAAGCGTGCCCAGCTACCATTAGGTTGAACTGGTGAGCATTGTTTCGGCGGGCCCGTACACGAGGTGGACTGGTGATTTGTGTCATTGTCGGTTGCGTTCCAGTTTTACGGCCGGTAGCTGCCACGCTTGTCAAGTCGAGGTCGCAAAAGAATAAGAATAAGGAGGTGCTCACCTCGTTGGTCGTGTATAATTCGTCTCCCAACAAAATCCTGGTCAGAATTCAGCATGCAAAGAAAGTTGGCATTTGCTAGTGGCGGCTTTGAAAAGACTTGCGAAACGCGGTCGGCCGTCTCCGCTCTTGTAATACATTACACAATGGAACCGGATTAACTACATCCGGATGGAATCATCTTACTCGAGCAAGCGGAACTCGTCGTTTCGAGTTTGGGTTGGGGCATCCGGACGGGCACCACGGCAGCATGTCGCGAGTCCACAGGCCAAAAGTGAGTGAGCTTGAAGGTGGATTTTCTAGTTCACGTAGAAGAGATGTTTGGTCAGCGTGCTAATTGAACCATAGTCGGCGGAAAACGAACTCCTCAAGGTTTTATCTTCGACCAGTATTGGCTCCATCGGAAATTACACCTTTGGAAGGACACTAGGAGAAGGTGAGATATGGCATAGTAGCGCGAAAATAGAATTGGAGAAGCTGATATCTAGAATATTGTAGGTACGTTTGGCAAGGTGAAACTTGCCAAACACAACCTCACTGGACAGCAGGTATGCAGATCGGCTCAATATTGTAATTTGCACATGTTGCTTATCTGCCAGGAGTGCAGGTGGCCATCAAAATAGTGGACAAGATACATGCACCAACCGTGGTTCGGGAGGTAATGCTGAAAAATATGACCTGCCAGAGGCGGTGAGCATCCAGCTCAGCAGCCCTATATCCTTTAGATCGAAACATGGCGTCATATGCATCATTCAAACATTGCCCGCCTATACGAAGTTCTGTGTAGTGAGACCCGCATATTTATGGTCATGGAATACTGTACGGGTGGCGAAGCCTTCGACTATGTTTGTGCGCACGGAAGATTCGACGATCGATGCCAAGATGCGAAAAGAGTGTTCCGGCAAATTGCAGAGGCTGTAGGGTACTGCCATGAGAAGAACTTTGTACATAGGTAGGGTATTCAGTGGGGAAGTCTTGATATTGACACTAAGTTTTTCAGTTTGAATTTGACAGGGATCTGAAGCTGGAAAATATTCTTTTAACTGAGAATTTGGACGTGAAACTGATTGACTTTGGTTTTACCCGTGAAGTGACTACTCGTAATTTATTGGACACATATTGTGGGTCGGTTGCTTATGCTGCACCAGGTGAGTACTCGCGTCTCTATGGTTGTCTATCGGGTCCATTCGTTAACGAAATGTGTCCGATCTTATCAGAAATGATATCAGGCAAGCAATACTCTGGACCCCAGGCGGACATATGGTCACTAGGTACTGGCGTTTCAGGCATAAACAATTAGGACACAGCACGCTCTAATGCTCTTAATTAGGCGTGATTCTCTACACTTTGTTATGCGGATATCTGCCTTTCGATGATGATAGTGAAGCGCACATACGCAGAAAAATTTTGGAGCTCGATTACGATTTACCGGACTTTTTGGGTGAATTGACGAAAGACCTGATACAGAGCATGCTTAAATTGGAGGGAAGCGATCGCATCAGTATCAAGGAGATGCTGGCACATCCGTGGTTCAAGGAAGCCGATACTGCAGCGGAGGAGGAGGTTCGCAACCCGGCGCCATCACCTGCACTTGCAGTCGACATGGCGGATGAGTCTTCACTGATGAGGAATTTGAGGCTCGCGGGATTGGATGTAGATGCCATAATGACATCCGTTAAATCTAATGCGTGCGATCAAGCCAGCGCATTATGGTATTTGTTACTGGACAAACACCGTTCTGTGAATGCTGGATATCCGCGATCACCACTCTCGCCAGGAGCTGAATCTCCGCTTTCACCTGTGGTGGTGGGCGACATGAATGGAGGCGACTATCTGGCCCAAGCTCGCCGAAAAACGTTAGGAGAGGCTGGTACCTCTTTTGGCGAACAGCGGAATTCCAGTTCCCGTCGTCCGTTGCTAACAGACTTAAAAGCCACAAATTCGGCTGACCGGGGTGGTGGGAAGTTTGGGCGAGGGCGCAGGCGTTGGGAAGGGAAAGGCGGAGACAATTATCGACAGGGGACAAGAAGGGGGCTAGGACCGTCTGTATCCTTTGGCCATGCCCCGCTTGGGTCCGGACGAGGGTGGATTACGGAGGAGTCTGAATCGGAGGAAGGAAATGGGGACGAAACACAAACTACCAACCCGACCGGAAATGATCAGGCGCTCGGTGAGCGGCATTCAAGTGACTTGGATGATGTGGAGCAGACACACAGCGCAGAGCGGTGGGCGGATCGTGTCGCTCGCCCTCATCGAAATATAGCGATTTCGGAAGCGCAAGAAGAGGAATATTAATTTAACCACAAGTTTTGGATCGTAACGACTTCTCCCTAGGGGGTGATTTTTATTTTTATTCTGGTTTTTTTTGTTTTTGAAATTCCAATGATCTGTATCATAGCGAACTTGACCATTTAATAATTGATGTTCACCATAAAAGCTTGCACACAGGGAATGGTGCAACAAGATATGTCTTTCGCTATGGGCTATTCCTACATACCTAGCAAAACACTATTGCCCTCACCCAGCTCGCGTCTACTATACCTTTATAGCCACTGTCGCTCAGGTAGTCCTTTACATATTCACCGGCAAAGGAACAAACGTCTTTGCACGCCCCCAGGTGTTAGCGGCATCGGTCACCGCGTTAATCAAGAGATCGCCAGAGGCCAAACTTTCAAGTCGATGACCATCCTCAACCTCAACTAATTCTACAAATCTCATCGGAAGGAGGTTGATCCTCTTCTGAGTGAAAGATTTTAGACTTTTCGCAAGAATCCTGCTGTCCTCGATGGGGACAATATCATCCTGAGTGCCATGAATAATCTTTGCCGGTGCTTCAGTAGGCCACCACCCCTTGTCTTCCATTCCAAACCGCTTCAGGTGGGCCGGCGCAAGAAGAACCACAGGACCAACCCAGCCTACAATATCCTCGTCACCGCCAAGGACACTTTCCTCACCAGAAATAAGCACACGGCGCGCTTTCTCTGGATCCTCCCTTGCCGCTGCCAAAGCCTGGAACCCTCGCTGTACGAGGGTGGTTGTCACGCTCCCTCCATAACTGCTCCCAACAATTACGTCTGGTTGAAAGTCCTTGATGGCGCGAGCTTGTTGTTTGACGACGCCTTCATAATCTGCTGCCTGCTCCACGGTGTATTCAACGCAATGTGTCGTAAAGTACTTTGATAAATGTACCAGCTTTGGGGTGTTTTTGGAAGATTGCCGACCGTGTATGTAGAGAACGCGAAGAGACTTTTGAGATGACATGCTCCTTAGCGAGTTGGATGGGCATCCAAAACGACACCAAACGCGAGCTGGACCGCAGCACGGCTGACAGCGCGCCGATCACCAATGCACGTGAAAGATAACTGCAAGGGTACTCCCCACTATAGTGGACTGGCGTGAAGTGGACTGACCAAGTTATGACACACAGTATTTTGAGGGGTTTAACGAAACGGCGCTCCACAGCTCCACATGCCCTCAATTGGACACGGCCGACACTTGGACCGATTTCCTTTAGACTATTTTCACAAATACTGCTGGGTATGTAGCAGACTACATATACAGAAATGATTATCCGATGCATAGAAAATACCACATACCACTGTTTTTCTACATTTTTAAAGCATGTTAATTTAGTTTATGATATGTTGAAAAGTAGAGGAAAACAGGGTCGATGATGAACTTGGACATAGCGCGTCGTGTTCAATGTTAAATCGTTTATCGATGCGTTTGGTCATGTGGGATCACGCCAGTCCGCTATAGTGGGGATGCAAGTATGTAACATACAGTACAGTCAGTACTCAGCGTGCCCTGCAAACCACATGACCGCAGACATGACCATGATGCATGTCAAAGAGTCGGAAATGCCCCTCGCTTTTACAATGAAATCAACAAAAGCAAAAACAAATCTTTTCTTATACAAAAACAAGAACAATGAATAATACAGGGTATATTTTCGCACACCGCATTCCCAATAGTTTCACATACAAAGTTAACTCCAATAATTCGGTCACTTGCCCAATAGGATCACATCGCAAACGCCACGCACCACACTTATCCTTTTTCATTTCATTATCCAAATTCAAGTCCCACAGAATCAAATACCCCATCTCACCGTCCGGCAATCCCGCTACTCCAGAATTCTCATCAATTGGGGCCGGCAGAGGCGTCGACCTCCTCAGTCCGAAGAGTCGATGCTTCCGCCGGCACCCGCCTGACGTCCCTCCTAGAATTTGTTCAGCACCATGTAAGTCTTCTTTCGAGTCGATCTGGGTCTGTTTTCGGCGAGCTCGTATGCGCTACGCATGTTTCGAAGGCTGCTGAGACGACGACTCTTTGTCCTCTGATTTTCACAGAGTTCCGAGTACTGGGCCATAGATTGAACCCAACAGAAGATCATCTTCACAATTTTGCTGAGGTTGGGAAGATCTTTGGCGGTCCGTGGGAGTGCTTCTCTGTCGTATTCAACTTTGAAGTAAACTGAATGCACCAGCTTCATGTACGAAAGGGAAAGGCGGTGGTTGTATACTTGGCATTCGTAGGCTTTAAGATCTGACGGTATGTGTTCATCGTTCAAAACGTTCTGCACGATCATATTGTTGATTATATCCTTGCTTGTTCGTCCCAATTGGCCGAGGTCGTCCACAAACTTTTGCTGAGGAGGGTAGGGTTTGCTAATCTCCACTGATGCGAGTTCACGTCCCGTTGAAGAGTAAACTACACCGTCAGCTCGCTCTCCCGTTCCATCTTGATCTTCACGACGTTTCCTTTCCCGCACACTTATCAGAGCGACATCACCGCCCTCATATTGCAAACTGGAAAAATCTCGGATAATGTGGCGGAGCAGCGGATGAACAAATTTCAGAGCATATGGCGCCTCTTCATACGACTTTTCCAGAAGAATGTTGCGGTCGGAAAAAATTGCTTCAAAATATGCCGGTGTGACTTCATACAGGACATGTCGCATCTTTTTTGCGTCAATGTCATCGTCCATGACATCCAGCAGCTTCTCACGCCTCCGACGCCAGTTTTTCGCATCAAAATCCTGATTGAAAAACTTGTCAACCACGGCTTCAATCGACGGCTTCAACAAATCTTCCATCGGTTTTATCTCCATATCCAGAAGCTCCTGATAATCTGCCTCATCCACATATCCCGCGAGCAAGAACGGTGACCGCCTTCTGACATCGCATATGTTCTCTACTGTAAAATCATCGGCAACTTGACTCTTGTACTGCTCAAAAGCGTCTTTCAACCTCTGGAAGAGTGATGGTTGGCTACTCAAATTGGCTTCAGGTACCAGGGCTGCCAATAGGTCATCCGCTCTATGCCCCTCAGTCGGCGCACACACCATATCGGCGGATCTGTGCTGATTGAGGGGCTCGAAGGTGTTGAGATTCGGACGTGGGGTGCCTTGATCGTGGTCATTGGCGGTGTCGTTATCCTCATTGACGGAATCCTCATCAATCTCTGGTCGTCCGGCTGGTTGGAGATCCGCACAGACGATACCAGCCGCCTCCGTGTACATAATGGACTTAGCACCAATAACTCCACTGACTTTCGAGGCAAACTGTGCGGCAGCAATTTCCTGGTATCGGGCCTTATTCACAGCGTTACAAAATACCCTAACTGCGAGATCCTCGGTTTCTCCACGAACTTTCTTCTCCATGGCTCTTAAAATCCTTACGGCTTTAACGAGCGTGAGTACTCCTTTCAACACAGTGATGTCATGCAATATCTCTTCCTTAATGTTATCAAGTGTCCATTCCACGCAATCGTGACTGGCAACACAATTCCCTGCGAATCCTAAGACTGACCAGTCGATCAATTTCGTATTTGCCCAGTAGTTAGGCACGCTTAGCTCCTGCCTGGTCTTGTCAGATATCTTAACAAAACCATTTCTTAAGGTGACCTTTCGCTTCTTTGTTTCACCGTCCACATCACTTTGGCTGCGTTTAGTGCCTCGCGACTCCCCAGCAGCACCGGCGGGATCGGAGCTCGGCGCCGCCGGTGACGCGGGCCGCACGTTTGGTGTCATTGAGGATAGGTGGGTTGAAGTTGCGTGGTGCGATGAAGTGATGAAGTGAGCTCGTTGTGTTGTCCGATTTTATTCGGACAAGCACTCTGTTTTTGATTTACACATATATGGTTATAGAGCGGCTTAGTATGACTGTGCCACTACACCAGAAGTTGAGAGTCAGGGGAGTGGCGCAGTGCAGAGCAATATAAAAACCGCTCGGCAGCCGCGTTCCAAACCTCTCTTCACTTCATCTTTCTCTGCGATGACTATCAGCTGTTCATTCATGTCTCACCTCCGCTGTGGACTTCTTATGTTAAGTTGAGTACATGGTCTGGCTATGTGCTGTGTGAGGTGCTATAAACTCTCCACTGTCGCCAAACTCCGGGTTTGAAAACCGAGCGCTGTCGCGTACTCGTGAGTGATTTGGTCAGCTCATTTCAGAACCCGGCGACCTGTCGAAGTGGAACTCCCTTTGTGGAGTTGAGACATTGTGGAGGGAACAACGTTCGCCCTTTGTGCTTTTGGGTTGAGGCTGATGGCATCCGACTAGTGAGGCGGGGTTAATGGTCTTGCGCGCCCGTGTGGTACACTCTGTTTCTTTCGCTTTTTAGCGGCTATTAGTTACGCTCCCCTTGTTTGTGGAGGAACCACACATCCTTGCGGGTACCAAGTGTGACGTCTGGAGAGGGCCAGGGGGACCAATTCATGATGAAAGCCAGGGGTCTTGTATCGCGTGCCGATTCATGACCGCCAGGTGCCCCAGTCGCGGCACCTCGTATTGATCTGTTTTTGAGACGGTACGCTTCATGCTCCTGGACAGGTACTGATCGATTTTCTTTTCCCTTTTATTACTTGGTTTCGACTTCTCGGCGGCTACCTGGTCCAAGGGCGACCGCGATCAGCTAATACGACTTCCTCGGCTGTGAAGGCAGATCTTTTGTGCTTAACTTAAGAGAAAGTTATCTTTCCTTTGCACGAATAGCCGCTAAGAAGAACCCTCGATCCGCCTCAGCTGCTTCCGATCTTAAATCGGTGCTCTCCTTTGGAAAGGTTGACACGGTAAAGCAAATATTTATTTTGCAAATGCGATGTTGTAGGATGTTCTTTTATCATTGTAATATATGAATAAACTCCCTGAGCTCATTTGGTGTTCCATCGTGAATCCATGCATGTGTACAAAGTGGAAACCGCAGGACTATGCGAGCATAGTCTTGAAAGTCAGATTACGTTCGTGATTTGTTGGCTCACTACGCGGTATCAAAGAGGTCTATGCGGGAGCATTGTGTTGAGGTACTGGCATCATCCAAAGCCACAACAATGGGGAATGCAGAGGTCCTGGCATTTACGAATTCTAGAGATCAACCTGATCGCACGCACTTGTGGAAACCGTTAGAATGATGGCATTGACCATAACGGATTCCCATCATGTTAAAACAAAAGGTTTCCTTTCATTCCCAGTCTGCTCATGTTTAACTACCACTAGTACTTGCATCCATGACGAATCCGTCACATGCCACGACGCATTGGACGTTTCTGCGAAGCGAAGCCATATTCCAATTGTGGCAAGCACAGCTAAGTAACAGAGAGACCGTCCGGATTGAACGAGGAACCGGCTGCAGCGACAAGTTTCCAAGATATGCTTTCGTCCTCGTTCCTGGTACGTTAATAGGGGGATACTGTAAAAGTCTATAATTGTCCATTATTACAGCAGCCAATTTCTAACGAATCTCCCCGATATCTGGGACGTGATTGATAGTAGTGAGCATCCTCGAGCGGGCGGTATCGACCACGCATCTCATGTATGATCAGTAAATTGAAAGGAACTTGTTACCGACAGTGCATACTTTGTACATCCAAAATGGTCAGAGTCGACCTGAGGACGCCTTCCTCAAAATGAAAGAGATTTGGGGTTGACGACTTAGGCAACATATCTCTCCATCTTCCGATATGCTTACGCTCGCCGGGTAGTACCTCCTCATGGAAATCTTGAATAGATCCATCTTGTACCTTAGCCAAACGACAATTGCCATCCACCTTTTCGCGGCCATGGAACAAGAAGTCCAACCTCAGGTCGTGAACTGGCGTTGATTGTCACGGGTAGGCTTGAGTCCTTTAAAACTCTTTAATGTTGTCACATCTTGCCGCGAAAGAGAGTCGTCCGAACGATGCTGCCACCAGCGAGCGTTGCATTTTGCACAAATTGCAAGGAGCAAGGAAAGCTGCTTTATGCATACTGCTACGTTGCCGTGTGAAAAGGTTCAGCCCTACCAGCCCGATGAGACGGATGGTTGATTTATCAATGTGTGCATTCCGATGTTCGCTGTTCTGTACCCACAGATATATCATCCGGGCGCGTGAGAGGGCAGAGCTAGACTTCAAGAATGTTATTCTCTGGACCTAACGTTAGCATTTGTGTAAACAATAAGGTAACCAATGGTTTCAAGCCTCAACTACCAGGGCCATAAACGGTGGACATGGGTTAGATTGCCTGCAGGCATTGACAAGCTGAACACAGCAGCAAGCTCCTGTTTCTTAACTATCAAAAAAAAAAAAAACTTGTCTCCGCTACATCTTACTGAATGACCAATCAGAAGGAATTTTAATAACAGCCCTATGATCTACGCAAGAAGTTGCGATTGCCAGGCTTAATGACGAGATTGAGCAGTCAGCGGCACCTCTTCCCTCTGATGAACCATGGAAGGTCCGGATAATAGGCGCCCCAAATCCTTTCCTGACAAGGAACTTTTCAATGTCTGTGGACGACAGTCGAATATCGAGATACATTTTCAAGACAGAAACATTGGGAACAGGCGAAGTCTACATCGACCTCAGCAATGGCAGGTGTGCTTGAATGTTAAAGTAAGGTCACAAACAGTTCGAGGACATTGGACATACTAAAGGTGCGGCGAGAACAACATACCAAATGATGCTAGAATTCTCGTCACTTTGGGGTCTGCAAGAGCAGGGTCGCACGAGTATGTCATCCTCCATGTGTGGAATATCGATTGCACATACTGCATGAGCAAGACTACGTCTTTTGCAGTCCGGCAATTCTCTGAAAAAACAAGGTGCATCTTTGCAACGCTTTAGCATTACGAGTCATCCGAATCATCTCAACCAGCCGAAAATTGGTACGAGTGCATTTTGTTTCTCCCCGATCACTTTGCCAGCCCTTTTGAACCTTGCCAACGTTATGCGTTCCAAGCCACATAATGTTCCAGGCCCGGGTGATAACAGAATTGATGATGTGCTGTGGATTTTCGTTAATTTTTTCAATGCCCAGCACAAGTCAGATCCTGGAATGGGACTACGACTTTGCCTGAAAAAGTTTGCCACATTTGCCAAGCTTGCTTTCGTGCTATTACCCACGTTAGGAGCAACTCAGGTTCCGCTCAACATGCAACTCCACGCCTGGATTTACCCAGGTAGCCCAGCTCTCAATGCCCCGGACACTTATCGCTCCGTTCGCATCCATGTCCTGCGCCCGCAATACTTTACACTACAACCAAACGGAATTCTTAAGCTGGATAAAGAGGATCCCGATGACCTTTTTGACACAAAGAACGGATTCAGTCTGACCAACGTTGCCGACATCAAAGCGCACTCTGATGAGCAATTGGTGACTGTATCATGCCAGCTGGACGCATTTCGTGCAGTGTACACGGACATTGAAAAGCGAAATGCTTTTATTTTGACTTTGGTGGACTTTTGCAATGAGTATGGATTGACCGGAATTGATCTCGATTTGGAGGCATTCAGTAAATGGTCAGATGCAGACTATGCGAATTACAAATCCCTCGTCAGTGATCTGGGTATGCTTTTGCAATCGCACAATCGAAAATTGAGCGTTTGTGGGCCTACGGATTATGACCCCTCCAATCAAAACTACCGTTGGCGTTATGAAGACTTCATAAACCTCCCCGTTGACTACATTACGCCCATGTGCTATGACTACCAATGGCTTGACGAAGTCGGGGCACCCATTGCGCCCCTCAAATGGATACATGTCTGGACACAATATCTTCTTTCGCTGGGTATATCTACGGGCCGCCTTGTGATTGGGCTTCCATCCTATAGCTATCGAGTTAACAAACATAATGGAACCGTAACGCTGACAACGCTGGAGGTCGCTAAAGCATTAGGCGTTTATGATCCGAATCGGCGCGAGGCAACATCTGCAGAGATCATGGTTGATGATGCCCAAGGCGACAAATGGGTGATTTCGGATAATGTAAGCTTGAGAGAAAAAGTACAAGCGGCTCACATGGCTGGTGCATCCAAGATTAGCGTATGGCACTTGGGTGGAAATGAATGGTTTTGAACGGGACAGATGTGATTGAGTTATCTATATAATACCTAATACATGCAAAAATAAGTGCGATGCGCTTCCTTACATACATTCCCCTTGTCTCTAAGCTTTCGCCTATATAGCATTAAATACAATTACTTAACCATACTTTCCTCATTACTACTTAAATTCGCCTTCTCTGAAAACTGGCATCTATATCCTGTTAAATACAACTTCGTAGCCAGACTGTCCTCACTACCAATTAAGTTCGTAATCTAATTTGCCCCAATACTGTTCAATTCCGTAATGTTCAGTGTACCATCAGTCGCAGTGCGACTTAAGGTGTGCTTTTGTGCGTCAATCTTAAAGTCATCGCCTGTCGTTGGTCCCGTCGTAGGTTTTTGAATCTGTTGCTGATTGTTTCCACTGTGTCGCGTCGATGACGTAAGATCATCATCGGCGTCGTCTTCCGAAGAGTTCACCATTGTACTTCGGTCGCTTGCCCAAGTTCGCGCTGATGATGTACTCTGGCGGCTGTGGGGATAGATTGAGCTTGCCGTAGAAATGTCATCTCCTTGCTTCCCGGATCCCATCAGGGTGCTTGAGGACGCACGGCTTTGCCGCAACGCGGCCTTTCGGTTGGCAGGTCCATCGCCAAGTGGCATCGCCTCAATAGACGTTTTGACGTCTATAGGATGGTGGGGTACAGCTGATGGTTGTGGAACCGCAGATATCTCCAAGACTTCGTGCCTCACAGGCAGCATCTGGGGTTGCACAAGCACACTCAAGTTACTTGGAGCGTTGCTTCGATCAGAGCCAATTGATGGTCCTCGAGACACTTCCATCGTTTCGTGTGGATCGTCGCAGTCTGGCATGAAAGGCACCGCTTCGTTCAAAAGCGTCACTCTACTGTCTGGCATCTGATGGCCATCTGATAAAAGCCTTGGAGTGGGATCGTCACCACGCTTCCAAGCAGAATGAAGAGTGTGTCCCAATGACGGATTCTCGACAATTTGCTTTCTGATCGGATCGGGAAACGGTTTGGCAAAGAGGTAGTATAAAAATGTGTAGAACACTACTACCAGTCGGATCAAAAACTCATACGGGAATCCGTAGAGTATCGGATAAGCCAAAAGTGCGTCCGGCCGGATTGCCATGGATATTTTGCGCAGATTCTTTGACGTGAAAAGCAATCTAGCGGCCAAATGAGCCCAGGCAATGATGAGACAGTCGGCCCAAAATACTCCAATGTACAGTAGGTTTTTCGTGTTGCGAACACGGGCGAACGAGTAGATGACGGTAATGAATAGGATGTACTCGCGAAGAAGCCCCAGCACCTTCCAAGTGCACAGGACACGAATAAAATTCTTTGGAAAATTGCACCAGCCTCCTCTTGAAAAGACGATAGTTAGGAACTTGACAAAGTACTGGTGAGATGCAGGATCCCAGGATCGAAGACGTTGGTTGAAAAAGGAGTGTTCGCCGCAGTCGCAAGGACGAACTTTCCACGTTCGTTTCCGGCCTGCAGGTATGAAATCATACCAATGGCACCAACAAGGAGGTACCACAGTGGGAACAACGCAGTCTTGTACATAACCAATGCGTAAAGGGATATCCATAGCCAGCTTGTCCGTTTCGGGTCTCCCAGAGAGCTTATGCATGATGTATCCCATTTCAAGATCTTCTCCGTTGAAGACTGTACAGTGCCGGTCCAAAACCAACTTGAGCTGCTCTAACCGCCAGGTGGCGATGGCACCGGAAGCCCAGAGTTGAGACCCAAACGCGTCTTGAGCGAATCGATGTACATTCCCACCCAGGTATTCGATATCCTGAAGCGTAGCACATATCGTTTGGTCTTGGTTTGCCGCACGCAAAGGGTAAGCCAGTGCCACGGTTCCTGGTACCTTCATCAACGAATTGACAGTCTCGTATGACCAAAAACTAGGCATGATCACGTCATCGTCAATGATCGTTACTGTGTCGACGGAAGACTCGGAAACTCGGAATCTCTCAAGGAGATGGTGCACAGTTGAATACTGTGCTAGCGTTTTGCTCCCGACAGGAATATGTGCAACCTGAATATAAGTCTGAGGACCGAGCTCGGGATGTGATCGATAATATGCTTCAGACATCTCAATACAGAGGGCGTCCGTCAGTACTTCCTCTTCCTGGGTGGATCCATTATCAGCAATATAAATCTGATGCGGCCTCACAAGAGCGAGAATGGCCGGTATGGTACGTTTCAGTATATCCGAGCTGTTGTGACATACAACAATATAGGCGTGGTTTTCTGGTGCTGGCGTGGTTGCAGGCATCGGACGCGGGCCCCATCTGGCCATCACGCAAAACGCAACCTCCAGAATCGTCATTAAGATTTGGCTGCCGTATACATAAAAAAAGACGGCGGGCTCTTGCTGATACTCTGGGGAGGTCGTCCAGTAATTGCATCCAGCCCAAGCCGTGCTGAAAAAGTTTACTGGAGTCCATCCCTCGGAGCCGTGCAACCTGAAAGACACCGCAAGGATGGACCCTACCACCGCCAGACTCGTAACGACAGAAAATATGCACAACGACAAATGCGGTTTGTGTGAATATCCCTCGGTAAAGAAGCGAAGCTTGAGCAGATAGCCGAGGGGGCTGATGAATCCCGCCCAAAGACCGTAGGCGAATAGAAAAATCAGGGCGAACGCAGCCATGTACGGGTGGATCTCCACCATGAGTTCCGTCGGACCCATCTTCTTTCAACGCTTGTCTGAAACTGTAATGGACGTGAAGCGAAAACCAAGTCCTTGAGGAGCTTTAATATCTTGTCCATTCCTCCTCCCACGGGTCTTTGAACACTTTGGCTTCACGTGGAAATTGGAAGCACGAAGCCTCAGCCAGCCACCTCCTCGGGTCAAGAAGGGCTTTTCCAGGAAAAGGGTCCGCGGTAACCGAAAATGTGGCTTCATTTCACGTTTTTATCCCTTTCAGGTGCTGAATTATTTGGAGCGAATGCATTTGGGTTTTACATCAATCCACAGCCATTTCATCGAGAACATTATATGCTTTGTCTGGATTGACATTGGAACCGGATACATACCCTTATTTGTGGCATCCGGAGGGAATTCCCAGTTTATGGGAAATGAAATCCCTTCACAAGCTTGCTGAGCCCAGAGCGCGTGCTTTGTCACAAGCTGGCATGAGCTCCGCATCATGCCGATGAGCTTTGCAATAGCGTGTTTTGCGGCCGTTTCCATTTGGGCGTCATCTCCCAGCGACACCCCCAAAACGAAAACGTGTTTCTCCCAGTGGATGATGGCGGGATTTCAAGAGACTCGGCGCGTTCTCTTTACCGCCCAAAGAAAATATGTAATTTCCGCAAAACGCTTCCGCGGCAAAGAGGCGTCCGGCGGTACTTTCCGATTCCGATTTCAACCCACGATCAAAACACATTCTGCACACCTACACTTTGATGAAAAGAAACCAGATGGCCCAATCATATTGTTCACAGAAGGAAGGTGTTCAAACTAAAAAGTTTCGAAAAATATGGGCCGAAGGCCAGTTGGAAATCGATGGCAGCACAATGATTGAAAACGCTTCCGTTGCGAAGCTGAAGCACTCAATTTCCCCATTTTGCGCAGTTTGCGTGATTTGCCGACTAGTTCTTTCGCAGCCAAGAGACGACCGCGGAGCTGAACAACGATCGGTAGACGGAAAAGATCAAGAGTTTCTTTTATAAGTGTATGATGCCGCGCCTCATCACTTTGATAGTCGCTGGATACTCAGAATGAGCCGGATTCGCTCGCAGTCGGAAGAAATTCTTGTCGATGACGACTCGGATTCATCGCTAGAACTGAGAAATGAACACGTCCTGGTGACAGGCGGAGCCGGATACATTGGCTCTCACACGGTCCTTCGACTGCTGCAGGTACTCTATTGGCGTTCATATGTCATTATCGATCTCCCTGGACACTTATGGAATTGACGACGTTTACAGCAAGGCTACAAAGTCTCAGTTATAGACAATCTAACCAATTCCTCTCAAGAGTCACTTCGGCGAGTCGCTGCCGTCGCTTCTTCCACTGTCTACTTTTATCATGGCGATCTCCGTGACTTTGCTTTTCTCGATCGTGTGTTTAGCTCGCAGAGCTTTTGGGGCGTCATCCATTTTGCCGCACTAAAATCCGCGCCAGAATCAGTAGCAAAGCCGCTTGACTATTACGATGTGAATGTCGGTGGTACCTTGTCACTGCTGCAGGCAATGGTAAAGCATGGTGTTAGTCGACTCGTGTTCTCTTCCACCGCTGCCGTTTATGGCACCCCCCGCTCGGGGATTGACGTTATACCGGAGACACACGAAACTCATCCTGCAAACCCATACGGCCGCACAAAGCTTGCGACAGAGTACATGATTCGTGATGTTGTGGAAGCCTACCCAAACTTTGGAGCCGTTCTGCTGCGATACTTTAATCCGGTTGGCGCTCACGAGAGTGGCATTATCGGTGAAGATCCCAAGGGAAAACCTGGAAATCTTATGCCGTTCGTGTTACAAGTGGCTGCTGCCACGCGCGGTCATTTGGACGTGACGGGTACCGATTGGCCAACCCACGATGGCTCCGGAGTCCGTGACTTTATTCATGTTGTAGATCTTGCGGATGGTCACATAGCGGCGCTTGAGCACGCAGACAAGATAGCTCGATGTGAGGGCAGTTGCGATATATTCAATATGGGAACGGGAAAAGGTACATCGGTTCTGGACATGATCCATGAAATGGAAAGGGTGACTGGACGGTCCATACCATGGAAGGCGTCTCAGCGGAGGCCAGGAGACGTCGCCCGAGTTGTAGCGGACCCAACAAGTGCCCAGCAGATTTTAAACTGGTCTGCAAGAAAATCGCTGAAACACATGTGCCAAGACGCATGGAGATGGGTCCAAACCAATCCTTCCGGCTATCACCCTGCAGACGCAGTAAAGACGCAGAAGAAAGTACGCGATGTTCGGTTGGGGTTAACAGCCTGAAATTCTACTGATTGAACTGTGACTATTTGTATTATTGATTTTTGTTTTTAATGGAGGAGGCTTAGTCGCGCGCTTTAGCAATAATTAATTAATTGATTAGTCATCTTAATACCATGGATTTGCAGGACTGGTACATGTAATAACTTAGTTTTACGGATCCTGGTAATCGATTACGTGCAATTATGCAATTTGGGTTACACAAATACTTCGTTTGAATCGATATAATTCATTGTTAACAAACATATCCGCAATAATACGGATGCAAGATGCATCCGCCGAGTTGCTATAAGACGGGTCCACGCCAGACAGGCTAATCATGAACATTAAGTGGCCGTATTGCGGATTTACGCCAAATTTCCCCCAAAGCGCTTCTTGTCGATGACAAAGTCATAGGTATCACCGTGAGCAAGATATACAATTTGGGTCTCAGGGTCTGTAGCTAGTCCGCTGTCCAGGGCCGCCCTTTTAAAATCTTCCAAGTCGGATTTGAAGACATCTGTAAAGAAACTCCAATGAACGCGGCTACACTTGCAAAAGGTGTGATAACTAAAATGATTTTACCGTAATCATTGTAATGAATGGGAATAGCTGTCTTGGGACGAATAAGCCGGATGCATTCCACACCCTCAAGTTATCAAAACAACGTTAAGCGCTACTTCCGAGCGAAGAATAGACTGCCGTCCCTCGACTCACCTGCTTGGCATCCATGGTCACGATAAAGGTACCCAAAATCGTCGTTCCGCCAAGATGAAAGAGTCCCAGATCAATTTTTGGATAGCGTTTGGGGATGTCCTGGGAGCCACTTTCCATATTAATATTCCGGTCTCTCACCGCAATTCCCAAAAATTTGACACAACCTTGAGATCATCATGCATGAGAGTATCACCAGATATGTACATTTTGAAGACTCCTTTGTCGACCAATTCGCCAATTTTCTCCAAATCTAACTCTGCCTCATGTTCTTCGTGGCTTGCCACAAAGGTAAGCACGGTACCCATAGTGTCAGGGAGTGCAAATCCAAGGCCCGTTGGCGCATGCTAGAAGCGTAGAGCATGTCACAAATATTACTTATTAAATGTATCTTTGTGCGCGAACCTACCTTGGCCGGCATGGCTGTGACAACAATCTTTGCGTCGCCCTTGGCCACCAAAGCGCTCTCCCACCTCTCCAAGGGAAACACGGACATGAATCCTATTTTAGCCAGTTCCTTTGCAGCTTCAGACGTGGTAATGATGGGAATCGACTTTTCCAGATCCTTTTGGACGAGTTTATCAAAGTGATCTAAGAGATAAAAGAGATGATATTTAACTGCAATATGAATATGGAGGGCTTCACGACTGAAGTTAATGTACCCTCATGAAAATGGGACAATACTGAAAACTCCGTGTTATTTGTAGTTAGTGTAGATACCTGTGTACGGCAGATGTAGCGGGCAGCGTACCTATTGCGTCAATGGGAGGAATGTCTTCTAAATTGATTGCCGGGTTCGTAACCCGCTGCAGACATACATATATTACTGGCCACCAAGCTCATTCATTGTACTGCGGCGCATACCTGAGCTGTAATCCCCGGCCCAAGATGCACATGATCACCTGGATATATCACGTAAGACAGCTGATTCGTATGAATTTGCTGCAATGATCTCGACCACCTTGGTGCAAAAAGTTGGGATCCGTCATCAAGGTCAGACCTGCCCACTTTATAATGCATGTCGCTGTTCCAACGAAAAAGATTGACCCGCTGACAAACTTTTCCGCGTCTTCTGAACGAGAAAGACGAGGGGAAGAATCCTTCGTGGTCGGTTCCAAATGAAGGCGGTGCACGAAGATGGCGTTGGGATCAAGTTCAACTGGCATAGCTTTTGTTTGTCGATATTGTCGGCAGTCTGTTGATACAAAAACGCTTTGGCATAAGTGTGGGGGGTCAAATGCTCAGATCTGCTGTGGGAGGTGGATGACGTAACAAGTGTGACAGTCAAGCGTGTGCAGGGTTCAAGTCGATCATGGAGAAACCGCGCTTCCCCAAGCCCATTCTGATCGCCGCCAATGCCTGACATGCATACGACTGTCAAGTCCTTTAGAAACCTTCCGTACACTGACAGCGATGACCCGAAGCAGAAACTAGACCTATTTGTGCCAGTGAGAGAAGAGCCATGTCAGGAAGAATCGCCTATCATCGTCTACATTCACGGAGGCGCATGGCGCACCGGAGACAAGGTCAGGGAACCCGACAGACGATTGTCGTTGGTAACGCAAAGCTGTGCTCCTCGTTGCTCATACCACCTTCTCTCCCTAGTCTGAGTACGAGTTTCTCGGAGAATATTTTGCTTCCCGCGATTTCCCTACGGCGGTCTTGTCGTATCGTCTTTCAACAAAAACGCCCACTTCCGTACGGCATCCAACACATGTACAGGATTGCGCAGATGCGATACACTGGTTATATACCCAGAGCGCTGCTTACCTTGGCTATCGACCGTCATCCATATATCTGATCGGTCACTCAGCAGGTGGTCAAATCACCGGGCTGCTGACCCTGGATCCGTCCTGGTTGGAAAATTTGGGTGGTATCAGCTTGTGGGAGGCTGTCAAAGGCGTAGTTGGTGTCGAAGGAATATATGATATCCCAAAACTCGTGGAAGTGTGGCCGACATATGTGGATTTCATTCAGATGGCTTTCGCCGAGGATACAGATACATGGAGACGAGCATCTCCTCAGTACTATGCTCTGGAGGACAGGAAATTACCGCCTTATCTGGTAGTACATAGCCCCGAGGATGAGCTGATTGAAGTCGCACATTCAGAGAGATATTTCAAGCATTTAGAAACTATGGGTGCAAGGGTACTCTTGAATACGGAAGTTAGAGGAAAGCATTTTGAAATGCTTAGAGAGAAGGCATTTTTTGACATCGTCATCAACTTTATAAACGAATCGCAGCTAGCGAAGGGATCAGCAGTAGAATAGATCAGGCTTTGCGAACCTCTCAAGGTAGCCAAAGGTTGTCTACTGATCTACACTCGACGAGGAAGGAGGGCAGCATTAGAGAATAAACGTGTTTATTTCTCTGCAAATGCTATGATGTCGATGAGCTGGAAGTTTCTACACAGCCTGCGGTTGTTTCTTGGCATTTTTCTAGTGCTATCCGCAGTATCTCGACAAATCGATGCACTTCCGTGAAAGTATTGTACAGCGGGGTCGGTGCAACCCGGATAACATCAGGTTTGCGTTCGTCTACCACCACTCCCTTGTTCTCTAGTTCCTCCAAGACTTTTAGCATCAGGCCTGGGCGGAACAATAGACTCAATTGGCACCCTCGTTGTGCAGGATCGCCTGGCGTGAGAATCGTGAACCCGGGAATGCCTTCTAGCAGCGCTTCAAGATATCCAGTTAACAGAACGGATTTGGCTCGAAGGTCTTCCATCGATGTCCGTGAAAATACTTCTAAGGAACCAAGGAGGCTGACAGTCGCGAGGACATTCGGATTAGATACACGGTACACGTTTGCGCCTTGAATGGGTCGAAAGACATTGTCCATTAGGAACTTTTTTGTGGGGTCAGTACCCCACCAACCTGTCAATCTATGTGGGAGACTCTGAATTCAGTAATGCGCAGCACAGGGTGAACGCCCAATTTTGCTATCGTACCGCGGAAGATCTGATACTGCGTGCTTTTCATGTACGAAAGCACCCCCTTAAATCGCCGAGTGGTCAGTGTCAGCAGACGTTGGCCCAATGCGACGTAATCTCGCACCTATTCCACCAGGTCCAGCATTCAGATATTTGTAAGTGCACTGGAAAAACATTGCTGGTGAGGGATAATGCAATCAAAATATAAATGCAACGAAACGGAATGCTATGGCTACGAACCCAGCAAGCAAAATCCACGCCCCAGTCGTGTAATCTCAAAGGGACGTTGCCAACAGCATGGGCCAAATCATAACCAACCACACACCCCTGATTTTCATTAGCTCATTCGGTTCAGGAGGAGATTCAAGTTAAGGTGTTGCTACCCACCTTTTCTCTTGCAGCCACTGCTATTTTCTCCAATTCAAAGAACTGTCCTGTGTAGTACTGTACACCACTAAATAGAACGAGAGCAATCTGATCGCCATTGCGCGCAATACACTCCAAAATATCCTCCGTTTGTATCGTATGTTCACCAGTCCTTGGACCAAGTTGAATGATGGCATCCGCTGGGTCATAACCGTGGAAACGCACTTGCGACTCGACCGCGTACTACACATGCCACGGTTCCGCAAACTGATAAGTGTACTGCACGCAGAGATTTGCAACGATGGGAGCTCACTAAGAGATAACTTACATAGTCTGATGGAAAGGCGTGTTCTTCAATAAGGATCTTATAGCGATCATTCGTCGGTCGGTAGAATGACATCATTAAAAAATGAAGATTGACTGTAAGACTGTTCATGATTGCGACTTCTTCCTTTTTAGCTCCTATGGTACGGCTTAGGTGGAAGACACGGCGACAGTAAGAGGACGCAAGAACACATACCGACGATGCGTCCAGTTTCTTCAATCACATGATCGTCAATGGACACCCATGGCCGATCGTGCGAGTGTTTAAAGTGACCAACTACACCCCTTGAAGAAAGCAGACCAATGGCACAAGCCCATTTAACTTGTGCTCTCAAAGATGTTGAAGTGCTGATGAATTCGTTTCATGACTTACGATCGCGCCCAAACGTCCAGTTCTTCTTCGACCAGCTTGCGTGTACCGAGGGGCTGCAGACCCAAGGAGTTTCCACAAAAGTAAATGGCGCTTTCCTCACAATCCGTAGTGTTAACTACACTTAGTAAAACGAACTGTGATAAGTGCAGGGCCTTGCTCAACATGGTTGCGACATGACCAGACCTTCATGTCCCAGGACGTCTTTTTGCTTGGGAATCGCAAACTTTGCCCTAAAATGTTTCAAAGGGTCCCGACCATCCATAATAGCCGCAAATTCGCTGCTGTCAAGAGGGACCTCGAGTTCTCGGCTGAGAACTTCGTAGTACTTTCTCCCTGGTGACAGTATGGTACAGATCGGTCAGGACGATGAGCTGTCATTCCAAGTCACCCAAGTAAGACGGTTGCAATCTTTCCAGGTTCACTCACCAGTAAGGTGGAGACTCATCTGCTTGGGATACATGTTGACAATCTCGTCTGATCGGAAGTATAATTTATGCCAATCCTATTTGAGGTGGTCGCTGACAAGTGGCGATCAGGAGTAATGATACGTGATCTCGATTACGTAATGCCCAAGAGTTGTGATCACTCTCAAATTGAACTGGATGCTTCTACTGGCATGTCGTTGGTTGTGATTCAAGACCTTAGCGGGGGTATGCCTTGAGTGTCGAAAGTTCGGTCTACCCCTACACAGCTAAACCCCCTGAGCAATCAGGAAAAGAAAATGTACCCGTGCGAGCCGAATGGCACGATGCAGATGGTATTCAGTCAAATGCGTCACCTTCCCCACCGTTCCGTGCTTTCCAGGTATACAATTTACTGCAACTACATCTTTGACGCTTAGCTTACCCCCTTTTTAGTACATAACCCGTAACCTTATTCCACCACAAGCAGCTGAGCCGTTTTATGATGGCTGCACTTGCCAGCATAGCTGCCTGGACATGCCGAGTGCATGCGCCTGCACAACCACTCACGCGCCCGCCTACACGCAGATGGGCTTTCTGAAGCTGGAAACCCCACCTATTTACGAGTGTAATTCAAACTGCACATGCCCACGGACCTGTTCCAACAGGGTCGTGCAACACGGGTTAAAAGCACCATTGTGTGTTTTCAAGCACGATTCGAATAAGGGATGGGGGGTGCGTGCGTTGAGTGTCATACTAGCTGGAGCATTTGTTACAGAGTATGCTGGAGAGGTTATAGGAACGAAAGAGGCAGAGAGAAGGTGGATTGAAATGAAGAAGACTGGATCGTCAAATTACATCCTATGTCTACGAGAATACGGGTGAGACCGACTAGATCTAAAGAGAATCATGACACGTTGCTCAGTATAAGGACTAAGGCCAGATGGGCAAGTATATCGCACAAATATTGATCCGTTAAGGTTTGGTAACGTCGCCCGTTTCATATCGGTATGTTGGTCGCAAACTGGAGCTACTCTACCTTGCGTTACGATATATCCCATTAATTGCTGATGTAACTTTTCTCACAGCACTCCTGCAGTCCCAATCTAGGCATGCACATCGCGCGCATAGATTCCATAGTACCTTCTGCAGCGCTCTTCGTATTACGGGACATCCAGCCGGGCGAAGAACTCACCTTCGATTATGGCGGATCCGCCTCCCTGAATTGGGCAGAGAGCGGCGATGGAGTGATAGAAAATGCCCACGACGGGAGAATAGAATGTCTCTGTGGATCGTCCAATTGTCGCGGATATTTACCATATGATCCGGCACTTTGATCATTCCTGGAATGAGAAGACGGACACGCCGTGATATGCAGATACTGACAGAGTACGTAGTGCATGAGACAAATTCACAACCCGGCTGATCAGCTATACCCGAAGACTAAATAGGGCATCATAGTCCGGCTTGCCCCCTATCCCCTTCTTCCATGTTGGATTGGCATTTGAACAGATTGTACGCGGAATAATTCTTAAAAAGTACGTTCAGACAATCTGACTGAGCGGAATCCATAGTGAAAGATATCAGTAGATTGATGGAACAGTGGGGACAATGTGACTGGGAGCGAAGTAGGTACTTAGCTTTGTAGCTCTGTAGGGACGGGAGTATTGTCAGCCGGAGATCTAATACAGGTTGAGCCTGATGATACAGTCCAGCGCATTTTGTGGTTGCTGTTAAATTTGGAGTCTGCGTTCCTTAAATCAGCGGTCCATCGACAGAGGGCCACAGGGTAAGTATCACGGGAAAACCTACTGTAGCACGTGTACGATGTCAACTGTTGCCTCTTGACAGACGCGCCTTGACTGCCATACAGGAGGTTCCAGGCGCCATGAGGTGATCCTACTATACTACACCAGATGCTGAGTACAGTACGAGAGATGCTGCCACATCTAGACATGGGATGTGATTGCGTTGCTTCGCACTGTTTACGAGGGCTACACTTGAGTTTACGGGGTAGGAGGTAGAATAAATTGTAATCAGATCAAAAAAATGTTAAACAGAAAGTGTACGCCGTAAATGCAAACGTCCGATATCTTGGCAGTATCCCAAGATCTATACTAAACTAGAGTCGCCTAGCTGCTTCAGACTATAGACCATGTTATTTCTTTTCAATTCTGGCAACAAGATCACCCGCATTCAGAGAGTCATTCTGGTTGACCAAGACCTCGGTGACCACACCAGCCTGCGTGGCAGTAACGACCGTTTCCATTTCTGTTACATTGGCAAATGGGGGTGAGAAGATACAACGAAATTGGATCAGGAGAGCGTTGCTTTTTGCACTTACTCATGGCACTCATGACCACCACTGGATCACCTAGTTTCACTTCCGCCCCCGTCTTCACTCGTACCTCTACCACAACTCCACTCATTGGGGCGCTAATCTCACCCTTATCTTTGGGATTCGCTTTGGGGCGTATAGCTTTGCCATTCACACCGGCAGCACTATTGTTCTTCCCTTGTGCTTCATCGTCTGTCACAGCTACCACACGTGCTTCACCATTGAGTAAGAAGAAAATGTCCCGCTTCCCAGTCGCTTCATTTAACGGTCCGATTGCCATCAATTTGATGTACAGAGTCTTCCCTTGTTCCATGTTGAAAGTAAATTCCTCCCCGACCTTCAATGGCCGTAAGAAGAACTGGGTTGGAAGAGTGGAAAGATCGCCGTATTGGTCCCGAACGGTCCGGAATTCATCAAAGACCTACACAAATATTGCCTTTAGCTGCCAGTCCGTAGGAGATGAGCACGACATCCTATACCTTGGGGTACAACGCAGAGCTGATAACATCTTCATCTCTAACCGCACCTTCACCCCAGCGTTCTTCAAGGTCACGTTTCAACTCTGCAAAATCGAGGGGGGACATAGTCGCTCCTGGTCGACCTTCAATCTTTGCAAGTCGCTTGGCTTCCAATATACGACTTCTCAAAGGTTCTGGGAAACCGCCAGGGGGAATTCCTAAGTATCCTTGATAGTACTATCAAGGGCAAAGTAAACGTGAGCGGCAAGCCAACTAGCCTACTTCTAAGGCTAAACCAAGAAATGATTCTACCTCCAGAACGGATTGTGGGAAAGACAGCGTCTCTGCTCGCTCAATGACATCCACTTCGGTAAGCTTTTGAGAAACCTATATGGATAGAGAGCCATCAAAATGACTGAGCCTTTGCGAGTTGAAGCGTGGCCTTGCGTACCATGAACTGGGCAAGATCTCCAACTACTTTAGATGATGGAGTAACTTTAACAATATCGCCGCACAGTCGATTGGCGGCAGCATACGCCTTCTTGATCTCTGCATCGTCACGACCAGGGACAGCGATATGATGAGCTCAATAATAACGGAGACAGAATGTACCATCACTTGCCACTCACCGTTCCAAGATTCGCCGAGCCCCAATTGCTGACTTTGGAATAGCAAGTTGGTGTATTGCCCGCCAGGCATCTCATGAATATACACGCCCGAGTCACCACTCTTGAGACCGGGGTCAAAGCAGGAATACAGGAGACGGATTTGCTCCCAATAACTGTTGAGAGCTTGAGCGTTCTCAAGGGTGATACCGGTGTCGAAATCTGTGCCTTGCAGAGCCCCGATAATGGCGCCCATGGACGGCTGCGACGTGAGGCCAGACATACTGTCGAGGGCGACGTCCACAATATCAGCGCCAGCTTCAAACGCAGCGAGCATGGAGGCGACACCGGTTCCGGCCGTGTCGTGCGTGTGGACGTGAATAACCAGATCAGGGTGCCGTTCACGAATAGCACCAATGAGCAGCTTTGCGGCTCGTGGCTTCAATAGGCCAGCCATGTCCTTGATCCCTAAAATGTGAATTCCATCCTTGACCAAGCGGTCAGTCAAATCGACGTAGTACTCCAAATTATACTTCTTCCGGGAAGGATCCGAGACGTCACCAGTGTAGCTAATCGCTCCTTCGGCGACTCCCCCGGCTTTTACGACTGCATCGATACCGAGCTTCAGGTTTTCCTCATAATTCAACGAATCAAAGACCCGGAAGATGTCAACGCCATGTGCCCGAGCCTTTTTACAAAATTCGTATATCACATTATCTGGGTACGACGTGTAACCAACGGCATTGGCTCCACGCAGGAGCATGCTGAAAGGGATGTTAGGAACCAGAGACCGAAGTGTCATTAAACGGTCCCACGGGTCCTCCCATAGGAAGCGCATTGCAACATCGAAAGTTGCACCCCCCCAGCATTCCAATGCGAATGCATTCTGCAAAGCGTGTGATGTAGTCGTCGCAATGCGTGCCATATCGATTGTTCGCACTCGGGTCGCTAGCAAACTCTGGTGGGCGTCTCGCCACGTTGTGTCCATCAGCAGAGCTCCTCGATGTGCGCGAATGGCTTTACAGAAGCCCTCTGGACCCTGCTCGAGAAGGATGTTGCGCCATCCTTTCTCGAAAGGCTTTGCCGTAACCTCGCGAGGAACATTCGGAAGACTGGGAACTGACACAGGCGCTTCCAATTTGGGGTATCCCACCTGACCTTTTACCCTGCTGCCATTGACTACAAGGTCTCCCAAATAACGCAATAGTTTTTGGCCACGATTCTTTGAAAGACTGCCCTGGAGGAGTTCTGGAGTATCGTCGATAAACGTGGTCCAGATCCTTCCGCCGGTGGCAAACGTATGATGCGTCAAAAGATTGATCAAAAAGGGAATGTTTGTTTTCAGGCCGCGCACTCGAAACTCCACCAATGCTCGCAAGGTCTTCCTTCTCGCGGCATCAAAATCCCGTCCGGTACATGTACATTTGACGAGTAAGGAATCGTAGTGTGGGGTGATGACAGCACCAGAATACCCTGGTCCTCCGTCCAAACGTACACCGTTGCCGGAAGAGGAGCGGTAAACTTCAATTCGCCCTGTGTCGGGTTGAAAGTTACGTGCTGGATCCTCAGTGGTTACACGACACTGAATGGCAAATCCTCGGGTTTGAATAGACTCTTGGGTCAATCCGAGATCAGCCAGACTTTCTCCCAATGCAATTCGTATCTGAGCGGCGACAAGATCAATGCCAGTGATCTCTTCCGTCACAGTGTGCTCCACCTGAATACGAGGGTTGATCTCTACAATGGCAAATGGTAAGTTTCACTAACCAGTACAACCAGAGATGGCTCCAGCGTACCAATAAAGTAATGACGATTCTCCTTATCCACAAGAAATTCGGCTGTACCTGCGTTGCGGTACTTTACCGCATGCGCAAGCTTTACCGCATCATCCAAGATTGCTTGGCGGACTTTGTCCTACATGCGATCTGTCAACACATTGTTGCCCTCTGGAGTTTAACCCACGTGCTCACTCACCGGTAAGTTGAGCGCTGGTCCCATTTCCACAACTTTCTGATGGCGACGCTGAACTGAGCAATCTCTCTCATACAAGTGGATGACATTGCCCCGTCCGTCCGCGAGTAGCTGCACCTCAATGTGGCGTGGTCTTTCTACGAACCGTTCCAAGAAAACGGTCCCGTCTCCGAACGCAGCCAGCGCTTCGGACTTTGCACGTTCAAAGAGCGAGGGAAAAGAGGTGGCGTCCCGCACCACTCGCATGCCTCGCCCACCGCCACCCATTGCAGCCTTGATAATCACAGGGAACCCATATTCCTTGATGAAGGCCTCAGCCTGTGCCAAATTCTCAACTGGGCCGTCCGAACCAGGGACCACTGGTACACCAGCCTTTATGGCTACCACGAGATGCAACCGGTAAGTTGACAGGACGCGAACATCATGTTAAAAGAGTACAGTATACCTAATTCGCGTGCCTTTGTCTTGTCTCCGCAGGCCTGGATGACTTCAGGTGTTGGCCCCACGAACGCTATTCCCGCTCTTTCCACTTTCTCTGCAAACTCTGCGTTCTCAGATAGAAACCCATAACCTGCCATATGACATTTAGGCAGATGTCGCCAACTCATGGACTTGACACGTGACTCCTTACCAGGGTGAATGACCATAACTCGCCTCTCTTTTGCAATTTTGACAATTTCGTCCATTGCCAAGTAAGCACCAACCGGGGTGTACTGGCCAGGTTCTCCGATTTGGTACGATTCATCAGCCTAGTCGAAGCATCGTTGGTTTATCATTTCCATGATAAGGTCAGATGATCCGGTCCAATTACCTTGTAGCGATGCATGCTCAGGCGATCTTCATGGGAGTATACCGAAATGGCTTTGAGACCAAGTTCATGTGCGGCACGAATAACACGAATCGAAATCTCGCCACGATTAGCGACCAACAGAGGGCCGGGTTGACCAGGCGTAATGGCCTCGAGGCCGGGTCCGCCGAAAATGTTTGTCATAGATTGACTATAGTCGGACGACTGGACAAGAACGTCGAGAGACGGCCTTCTTGTTCCAAGCACAAAGGACTCTGTAGAAGGAGGCATCGAGGTTCTGTGCCGTGTCAAACAGGAAAATACAAGATGAGATCACGTCAAATGGGGATGCTTTCTAGCTCTTTGCACATTTGCAACAGAGAATGCCGGGTCGACAGAGGCGATTCTAGCCAGCAAGACGTTCGTCTGCCAGCATAAAGTCGCCCCAACTCAACTGCGTCGCTTGCAAGCTACATGCATGGTCGGCGCTACATACCTTTAGATGAACAGAATACGCGGGCAGCAAAAGGTAAAGTTCAACAAACTCGTTACGGATATGAAAGACTGAAAGCAAGATGCGGAACGTAGGGAGCGACGATGGGGGTAGGCGAGAGGTGAAGAAGGACACGGCAGGACGGAGCGGTATGGGGCAATGGCCGAGCTCCCGGCTAAACCTCCCCCTGACCTAAGCCGACTAAGCGCTTGATGATCAGTGGCACGTGTCATGCGAGGCTTCGGGTATTTTCGGAAGCATGACATCATCACAAGGCTCCGTGGAACCATGATTTAAGCCGTGGTCAGCTGAGAAAGACCCCGCCGTAGAAAAGCAGAGTCAACGAATAAACAAGCGTAGATCCCTCGTTCATGGCGAAACCTGCCAGTATCCGTTGACCCATTCTGCTATGGGTGTGCCATGTATTCCTTTTATATGCTCAAGATCCAACTGGCAAAGCCGGGAGACATTCCGATCTTCCATATCTACAACATGATCATCAATATAAAATATAACAAAAATGATGGAGTATTTACTACTCAAAAGGACGATGAATTGCCATGACGGATAGAATTATAACGATGAACGGCATTATCATTGCATATCTATTTGCTACGATGGGGTATGGTCGACCAGTCGGGCGGTGCATCCCTCACAGACATGATTAGATAAGCTATTAGAAGGGAACGGCAGTGCGGCCACTCACGAAAACTTTTCACGTGCCAAAAACACGTGCCTCCATCGCAAGAGCGACTTTTGACAGTTTTTGACTAGAGCATTTCCATCACGCTTCTCTACCACAAGTTGACATCGCATGGCTCGTATTGCAATTGTTGGAGCAGGGAATGTTGGGCTCTACGTGGGGGTATGTCTCTTGCTGTTGCATTGCTGCCGGTAGGCAGTTGCATCACATTGGTGGAGCGCGGTTGTAACACTTTCTGTACATGTAGGCGTTTTTGCACCTCGCTGGCTGTCAGGTTTGCTGGGTCGGCAGAACCTGGCTCCGGAAAGAACTGGAAGACGCCGGTGCTTTAACCGTTTCCGACTTTTACAATCACACATTTAGCATTCAAGCGGACGAAGTTCAATTTCTGACTGACATATCCGAACTGGTGCAGTCTGAGGAAGAGGTGGTGATAGACTTTTTATTCTTGACGGTCAAGGCCCATGCAACAGAGGAAGCCGTGCAGAGCTTTAAGCATTTGGACGGAAAAGTTGTGGTATGGTCACCAACTTTGTCATCTTCAGACTCTTTTTGTAACCCTACTGCAGGTTGTAACACTTCAAAATGGTATTCAAAATGCGGAAGTGATTCGCAAGCATATGCCAAATACAATGGTTATTACTGGCATGTTTCCCACGAATATTGTCCATCTTCCTGGGGGACACTTTCATCAAGCATCGATTGGACCAATTCACCTGGAGGATGGAGAGGAGGCGTCGACGCTTGCTCAAGTGTTTATTGAGGCTGGTATGCCGACACAACTCACGACAGACATCAAAGGTACCTGGAGGTGAAAATGACATTGGGGAAAGTACTATACGACCGACTTACAATATTGTTGCACGATGCAGGCATCCTGTATGGCAAATTACTGTTAAACCTAATGAATGTGGGTACCCTGAGCCTGAGCAAAGCAATATCGTAGCCCTATGAAAAGACTAATGTGCGTAATGGTTCAGGCTACAAATGCGCTGAGTGGTGTTCCTCTGCGAACGCAACTGGTAAGTTCCCTGCATCAGGTCCGGAGGTGCGGTACTCTAATTCACTCCCCCACTTTCCCAGTCGGATCGATCGCACCGTCTCGTTCTTGCGCGGTGTATTGATGAAGCATTGGCGTGCTATCGTGTGGCCAACATAAAGCCATTATCCTTCTTCACGTTCCCCATGTGGGTTGTACCATATATTCTACGACTTCCGGATTGGATCTTCTTCCAAATTGCCTCCGCAGTATTAGGAATTGATGAGCGGGCAATGTCCTCAATGGTATGTGACGGCGGCGTGCAATATGTGATTCATTCATAGTAATAAGCACTAATGACCGCCTCTGGTAAACAAAAAGTACGACGACCTCTTATTGAAACGTCCGACGGAGATTGCCTACCTTAATGGCGAGATTCTGAAACTTGCGGAAGAGCATGGCGTCAGCACCCCCATGAACAGTGCTATAGACAAAATGATTAGGAAGATTGAGGCTGAGAGGCCGGAGAGACCACCATCGTTCTCCGGAGACGAGTTGTTGGCGATGGCTGAACAGACATGACCGAGGCGATTTCAAGATCAATATTACTGTAGATCTCCTATTTATATGTTTATCTTAATTACCTCATGCGTATATTCTGTAATTTTTCCCCGGTAGAATAATGCTACATATTAGAAATGGAGCCAAAAAACCTCCTCAGAACCCGCACATATGAGGAATAACATGAACATTGATTACAACTAAGCTCTTCCCAACAACAAACATCAGAAAAGGACCTGCAGCAGGCCGTACACTACTTAACAAGATAAAGAGTTTATTGCATTTCCCGCACTCAGAATTTTCTCGATTATCATCATCGCTTAATGGCCGACCTACAAAATCCTCACTCTGGTGGTCCATTCGGCAACAAGGCATCTGCTGGTAAGGTGAACGACTGCCAGCCCCACCACGCTGGAGCACCGACGAACGGACCTGCCGGCGCCGGTGAAACAAGAGGTTCTGCCGCCTGAGGGCTTGTACCCTTGGACTTTGAAAAATCTGTGTCATTTGGTTTTGGTGAATTCGGTTTCTGGTGGCCAGCATTGTTATTGCTGTCGACATTGGTCGGAGAGTGAACGGGTGACGAAGAGGGTGGTGGAGAGGTGGGTGAAATGGTAGGTGATGCAGCGTTTGCGGGTAGGGTAAGCGTTGGCATATTGAGTGGTGTACCAGCGTCCGCCGAGTCGGATATTCGTTGGTCGTTTTCTTGTTCGCCTCGGCCAGCGGGTGCTCGCTCACCCTCCTGCTTTTCTTCTTCAAAATTGGAAGGAGAGATGACAAAACCGTGAGAAGGGAAAGGGAAAAGTTGGTTGGAAAGCAGAGAAAATGAGAACCGTCGAGTATCACCCGGAAACGGCAGCGTCCACGAGAACCGACGATCGGCAGTTGGGTAATATGCTGGGACAACTGTGGTATCCTGATCGTGGTCTTGCGGGGCGTCAGTCATGGTGACATCTTGACTTAGAGAGTGAGGGTGATCTGGGGACGCCTCTTGGGAATGAGTCGGCGCTGAGCTGGAGTTTTCGTGTGAATTAGGCTGGTCATTCTGTATCGAATGATGTTGTTCTTGATGGTGGGCATAGATTTGCATATGACCCATAGGTACTTGACCTTCACTCATCTGATTTTGCATTGCCGGGAGTGGCATTGGCATTCCGCTATAAGGATAGACAACTTGATAACCGTATGGGACCGTGTAGGGCATCATGCCCTGCGCATACATGGCAGATTGTTGCAACATCTGCAGCTGAGCGAGTTGATGCTGTTGTTGCTGCTGTTGCTGTTGCTGTTGCTGCTGCCGGTGCTGTTGATGTTGTTGAACGGATGCAGCAGCGACAACTGGGTCGAAAGACCCTGGGAGGGGTATTTGTGAACTAATCTCTTGTATGTCTTCTGGTGAAAGATTCGCTTCTTCCGGGGACAAGGTGCCTTTCACAAGCATACGAAGCTTTAGCCGTTTCTGGATGTTGGTGCGAAGAGCCGCACGGTTTTCGGGAGTGAGTGACAAATCATTGTGGCCTCCATGAGGATGCCTGCCATCTGCCGACATGGGACTGTTCTTAGGAGACCTGCTTCTGCCTCCTTGTTTCAAAAGACCTTCTAATTCTTCTCGTTGCTGAACCCTTAACTTCAGTCTTTGCCGCAGAGAATATTTGCCTCGGCCATTTTGACCGGATCCGTTTGCATTGTTTGCGTCCTTAGAAAATGCTTTGCCTCCCGTTTTGGCCTTTTTATGCGGAGAAAGCGGGGCTTCGCCATGATGAAGATACGAATGCTCTCCGTTCACATGCTGTTCAGAGATCGCTCCATGTGGTATGTTCATCCCCGGCATTATCATCGGTGCATACATGTACTGTGCGGCCGCCGCAGCCTGTTGGGCCTGGAAATGGGCCGCAACAGCGCCGGGGTCTGCAGCGATTGCTGTAGTCATCGGATCATACATTTGAGTTGTCCACAAATACGGAGATGCTCCATATGGCATCTGCATTGCCGTGGCGTTCCCATCGCTGCTGGTTCGTTTTCGGGCCATATGGGGTGCAGATTGAACGTTGGGTGCGCCGGCCAAAGCAGCAGCGGCTGCTGCCATCTGCATTTGGGCAACTTGAGCGTAGGCGTCCATAACGGACATCCCTGGGACCACTGCCGTCCGCGGCTGGTATGCCTTTAACATGCCTGGAATAAGCTGGCGGAATTGTAACATTGACGGACATCATTACAGATACTCACGTCGTGAATTTCCAGTTTTGGTGCCAGAGGCGTCAGCCTCGTCTGTGCTTTTGCTGCTTCGGTTGCTGTAGCATGTGGCATTACAACTGCTGACTGTATGTGAGTAGCAGGTGTTTTCATATTTTGGCGGACAAGGGCCGTGGGGGCTGGTCGGACTGAAGACCTCTGGTGCTGCTGCGATTTAAACAGTTAAAGGCAGCTCAGATAGGTCGCAAAGTGGAAGTACAGAGCTCAATGAAGCAGCTGCTAGGACTGATGGAAAAATGGATTGAAAATCCCCGTGCTGCAACGGACCGGCAGTTGCATGAAATGGGTAAGGATCAGATGCCTCGGCGAATGCATGTCACAAGGGACAGCACGACGAATCGCCACGGGTTTGTGTATCCTACATTAACAATGCATTCGCTGCTGGCCTGGATTTTTTATTCTCCGAGAAGCGCAAAAGTATAAACAAAGACCCTCAGCAGAGATCATAGCGCTGACCAGGTTCTGGAAGTTCCATGACGAGGGGATATCTGGTCAGTCTAACCATGCATCAACGTGCCCGCGATCTTGATGCTCGTGGTTCCAAAGAAACCTAGTTCCTTAAAATATGTGATTGAGCCTCGAGATGCTCCCAGATTTGTGAGGATGGATGAATAAGACCATCCCCGATGTGGCGCAGGTAATTACCTAACACTCCTTGAGAGTTTCGGTCACGTGCACTTGACTCTGTTTCCGCTGGCCGTCATGGCCTCACGATCTGGCGCAAATGCCCACCGCGATCGTGACCCGCAGCGATGACAACGCAGACTATACTCTCGCGATAATCTTCTGCCGGGCATTCTATATTCTTGCATCGGTATCCGTTCTGTTGTGTTGCACGATTCCCTTCCTGCGACTGGCTCTTTTACCTTATGGAAAGTCGCTTGTTCGCGACCCCAATACCCACGACAGCGTGCCGCAAGCGGCCACTCTTTCTCAAAAAGCCCGTGATAATGACAATTGGGCTCTCGTCTTTCTAAGAGACTCACTCTCGGTCCCAAAATCTTTTTTCAGCCATTTCTACACGTTAGGATTAGCTTGGTCACTGTGGGGTCTCTGGGAGATCGCACTGTTGGCTAGTCATGATTGCCCGGTTTCAACGGCGTCGGGACACTGTCGGGGCTCTTTGGCGTCTTTCTTTGTGTCCCTGCCAAAGTCGCACCTGGAATTCATAATGGACTCCACATATGTAGCTCCATTAGAGGTCTTTATCGCTTCCTTCATGATGATTATTCAAATGATCAGACGACTATACGAGTGCTCTTTTATTGCAAAACCTAGCAGCGCGAGAATGCATGCAGCACACTACGTAGTGGGACTGCTTTACTACCTCGTGACACCAATCGCGGTTGGTATTGAGGGCTGGAGTGCTGTTGAAGATTGGGGTCGTATGGGTGAGTACCAATCATGGCTTATCCCAAAACGCAACTCTTGGTTAATCCTTGAAAACCCTGTACAAGAATCTCAAAGCATTCTCTTGCACATTACCGCAAACTTATGTATGCATCACATACTTGCTTTACTACTATTCGTCTGGGCGTCAGTCCAGCAGTACAAAGTACATGTTCATCTTGCAACACTACGTCCAGCGACGCCATCGCCCGGCGCTGTCTCATCAATACCTTCCTACAACCTGCCGCGTGGAGAATGGTTTAATTATGTTGCCTGTCCTCATTACCTTTTCGAAGTGATCATCTATATCAGCTTCGGTGCACTGACAAGATGGCGTAATTTGACGTGCATCCTAAATATAGTTTGGGTAGTCGTAGACTTGGGAGTAGCTGCTGACCAGCAATGGAAATGGTATAAGCACCGGTTTGGAGATAAACTACCGAAAGGCTGGAAAAGAGTGGTACCCTTCATTTTCTAGAATAGATTTACAGCGCAGTTTTCAAAGCTCCATTTCACATAATAGATTTACACTTTCTACAAAGCTATCACCATTGATGTCCTCTCTCCATAATGGCAGCAGACATGAGCTGAGTGGCTTGTGCATGCAGCTATGCTGGATAATGGCAGATTTGTCAAGAGAAAGATCATACTTACTCACACCAATTAATTGCATTTCAAAAACCAATGGTCTCATGGTAAATTTGAGAAACCACCAACACCCACATGGGACTCCACCATAGTGTAACAGAAGCCAAAATTCTTTCTTCACCACATTCCTGTGGGGGTGAGAGGTGAGGTGGATTTTGGTGGTGAACACATGAGAAATTAGTCCAGACTTCATGTGGCCAGGTTTTGATTAACAAAAAGCTAGTAGTAGGAAAGCTAGAGTTAGGCTATAATGTTCCTCTTGGGTATGTCTGCCTGCTGCAACTTGCCTCTCTCTGTTGTTAGAAACAAATACTGTAAAAAGGGAGGGTAATTGGGCTTGTCTAATGTGCATATAATAGTATTGTACTTGAGCTACTTATAGATATTAGTGTTATCAGGTGACCAGGTAGATTAAGCTATATTATACTCTAGTTATATTATAGAAAAGCTGTTTATTTTATATATCTTATATCTTATAGAAGGTTATAAATATGGGAGGCCCACAAATATTTGCCTACCTCATGTTGAGATTCAGGCTTAAACCACGCTATATGATCTATAAATCATGTGAGATCATGCTGGGATGTCATTAGACAGTTCACATCTGATTTGGCTAAGTTACAACGTGGGGAATTGGACTTAGAGTAATCAGAATGACCACAGACGCGTGTGGGAATGATTTAAAGGGGTAAATCATCATGTAAGCACTCTTAGAAGGTCTGGAAGGTTTGTGATGATCTAGATCTTCAGGTAATGTTTGCCAAGGCATGGCTGAAGATGCTGAGCACTGCTGAGCATGGCTGAGCATGTAAACAAGTGGGCTGAAGCATGTAAACAGTAAACAAAGGCGGAGGGAGGCTGGAGAATGTACTGGGTTATATAAAGGGGGCTTTTGAACATCTCTGGATTAATACAAGCGTGTTATCCCACAAGTTACTGGACCCAGAAGTCTTACTAGCGGCCACAGGCATTACTAGGCCTTTCAGAAGTGATTTCTACACGGGAAATCAGTGTTCCAAGCGCTAAGTTCAATAGGTTATGAGCCCTGATAGCTGTCACTGATATTTTCCTGCTTCAAATCTCTTTTCTGATGGCCACACCATCTTCCTGACGGACCTATCTTCTTCCCAACCTCATATTTGGACCACCTACCATACCAGAATGATTTCACCTCTTCCCCAACAACAAATCCACTCACCAAATCAGCTCAGACATGTCAAACATGGACTTGGACACCAAACTCACGATGGAAAAGTTCAATGGTGTGAACTACCACCTCTGGAAGTTCAAAATGATGCTGTTGCTGAAGGAAAAGGGGCTGTGGGGTGTGATTGAGGGGGATGAGAGCATGGAGGGAACCTCTGAGAAGGATTGGAGGAGAAGGGATGAGCGGGCAATGGCAGTAATTGCTCTGTCACTGAGTGATGCCCAACTCATGCATGTACAGACCGCTGTAACTGCAAAGGAGGCCTGGTTAAAGCTCAGTGACATCCACCAAAGGAAGGGAATTGCCAGTAGGCTCTATCTAAGGAGGAAATTCCTCACTCTGAAGATGGAAGACGGCACTGGGGGCATGTTGGGACACATAAACACGGTCAGGACAATGGCTCAGCAGTTGGAGGCCATTGGGGCGCCAGTCAGTGAAGAAGACCAAGTCATCACCCTACTCTACAGCCTACCAGAGAGTTATGAACAGCTGGTGGTGTCTTTGGAGGCCAGGAGTGATTCTCTGACGCTGGAATTCCTCACATCACGGCTTTTGCATGAAGAAACACGCAGGAAGGAAGCTGGGAGTGAAGGAGATAGCAAAGGGAAGGCCTTTTTCAGCAGGGATGGCGGGCAGAAGGTTGGCAAGCATGGTGGGACCAAGAAGATAGCAGGGAAGTGCTTCTATTGCAACAAGAAGGGTCACTTCAAGAAGGACTGCAGGAAGTTTCTGGCGGACACCAAACAACAAGCCAATCAAGCCAGCACCAGTCAGGCAACTCAGAATGAGTTCCTATTCTTTGCTCAATCGGGAGATGACACCAAAACCTCTCTGGGAGCAGTCTGGTGGATTGTGGACTCGGGTGCTTCACAGCACATGTCACACAGGAAGGATTGGATGACCAATTACATGGAGATGTCACCAATTCAAGTCCATCTGGCGGACAACAGAACAGTTCAGGCAATAGGGAAGGGCCAGATCACACTTGAGACAGGCAGAAACCGATTCTGTACCCTCAGAGATGTGTGGTTTGTTCCCAAGCTTGAAAAGAACTTGTTTTCAGTAAGAAGAGCCACTGAAAACGGTGCCAAAGTTGAGTTTGGCAGCAAGGGATGCTGTATCAAGACTTCAGACGGCCAGGAAGCAATCCAGGGAACTCTAGGGGGCGGTCTATACATGTTTCATGCAAGAGAACATGCAAACATAGCCTCTGGAATGAGTTTGGACCTCTGGCATCGCAGGTTAGGACACCTGAACATCAACAGCATCAAAATCTTGGCTAGGAACCAGCTGGGAAGCGGTCTGGAGGTCAAGAATCACACAGAAACATCACCATGTGAAGCCTGTGCCATTGGAAAGATCACCAGGCGTCCCTTTCCAAAGGGAGAAGCAGCTAGAGCGGCTCTACTGCTGGGGGTGGTTCACAGTGATGTGTGTGGGCCCATGAAGACACCAAGTCATGGTGGGGCAAAGTACTTTGTCACATTCATTGATGACAAGTCAAGGATGATGGCAGTTTATCTTCTGAAGGAGAAGAGTGAGGTTCTCAGCAAATTCAAGGAGTTTGAGGCCTGGGCAACCAACTTCATGGGGCAGAAGATCAAAACTCTCAGATCAGACAATGGGGGAGAGTATGTGGGCGAGGAATTCAAGAAATTCTGCAAACTGAAGGG